AAGGCCTTGAATTCAAACGGTTTCAAGGTCATGCTATCAAGACATCCATTGAATTCTTTGGAGCCATTGAGGGCGAGTTTCTTGGGGCTGTCCTTCAACTTGTACTCATCGTGCGGGTAGAACAAATTAACAACGGTCGTATCTGAGTCGAATGGGGATATCAACGCCGAGCCATTCCTACGGCAATCGAACTTGTAATCCACCGTTTTGTTGTCATTCTGATATACCAACCATACTGGCTGATCATTGTCCAGCTCTTGGATCTTGTAAACCGAATCTCTTAGAATCGACCACATCCCAACCTCTGTAGCCGTGCCGTTGGAGCCTGGGTAGTAAATATTCCGTGTTTGGTTGGACAGTTTCTGGACCGAATATCCGTCGTTCAGCACCTGGTAATCTTTTCGTAGTTGGTACATGTGCTTGATGACATTTCGGATAGGATGAGAAGGATCACGATGGTCATAGACTACAGTATCATCATGACAGCCTTCCCGTCCTTTGCTGATGGGCCAGTTGTGGTACTGATCTGCGTTCAAAGCGAAGCAGCCGTGTGACTTCCATGCGGTAGCTGGTGACATTGCCTGGCGGCCGTAAACATAGTTGTTTGCGGTAGCATCCAGGATATAGAAGCCTTGTTCTTCGCCCCACAATAGGATTGGAATGCCAGGGAGGTGAAGGGTAGTAATGAACATTGCCAAGAGCTGCCGCTCAATACCTTGCTCTAGAGCTGGCCAGCGGAAAACATCCTGGTTTGTCGCACCGTACATATGTCGTGGGTCAAATTTTCCGGTATTAGAGTTGACCATGTCGTTGGTTAGGACCATCAGGTTCCAAGAATCCGTCCAATCGACTGGTACGTCGTAACCTGCAGCAAGATTGCCGTCGAGACCAAGAAACCTGGTAAGAGATCGGTAGGTCGAATAATGGAAGGCGGCGCTATCAAGTGCTTGTAAACCCTCTTCGCGAAGGAAATACTCGTGGTCAGACTCGTTGTTCATTGCCATTGAATCCATTGTTGAGTCTGGATATTGGTCGGGCTGTCTACCACGCCCAATGTAAATTGAACCAAAGTTGTTGCCACCGGTAATTTCACCGGGTAGAAAGAAATTGTCTTTGCCGACATCACGAGCACACTCTCGATAAGCACTTGACATGTCTCCAAGAGCATCCACAGTTGCTTGCGTGGCTTTATCATATCGGAATCCATCAATATCAAGAGCCTTGATTATCATGCAGTTATGCTTAATCAATCTCTCGCGAACACTGGGGTTCCATTCACGAAGACGGTCTTGAACTGAAGCAAACTTTGCCAGCTGTCGCTCCCAATCTGGGTATACACCAAAAGCTTCTCTGTCTCCATATTGGTCGAAATCGCTATCATAGCAGCCTTGGAGCTCATCGCGAACATCGCTGTTAACCGGATAGCCAGTTTCATTCCAGAATCGAGGGTAGTTGCAAGTTTCATTGTACGTATTTCCGATATCAAAGTCAACATAGCGGCGCTCGCTCTTCCAGAGAGATTCGTGCTCCTTGGTAGAAAACGGAGTCGTAACGTTCAAATAACCTTTGAAGCCAATCAAATCACCCATACTTGGGTTTTCAATTAGCATTGGAGCAGCTGAACGTGAGTGACTTTGATAGACTTACGTTGCAATTGTGTTATCAAACAACACGTACATGTCACGCTTGTGAATTTCTGAAATCGCATCTCTCCATGTCTGTATTGTTCCGAAATGCTGGTCCAGCAGCGTGGTATCCAAAATCGAGTAACCGTCCGAGCCCCAAGGCTGGTTCATGAGAATAGTACCTGCGAGATAAATTCCCTACACAAAGTGGTTAGAAAAAAAAAATGAATGAATGGAAATGGTGGGAATCAGTATAGAACCTTAATCCCCATTCCTTGAAGATAGTCGAGTGTGTCCACCAAGCCCTGCGCATCACCACCATGCCGCATTTGATTCGAGTTTAGGTCATGCTCGAAAAGGGTCCCGTTTATATTGTCGTTGGTGGGGTCACCGTTGACAAACCGGTCGAGGAAAAGCGTATAGAATGGAAATCTCCAATTCTTTGGCGAGGGCGTATACTTGTGGTCTTTCCATTCTGGTGCAAAATACTCTGCTGGCGTAGCGGCATCCTTGTTTGCATTGAGGTTGTAGTCAACTAGGGACTCTTCGTAGGGCCAGCCTGTCACGGTCACTGCAAACAATGCAAGCAACGAGCTTGTAGCCCCCCACTTCATAGTTGACGGTCACTGAGAGGGTTGGACTCAGAAAGCCGACATGAGTCTCAAGCCGTAATGACGATATGAAAGACCAAAACGAGCAAAAGTCCAGATCAAGTACTTGAGTTGAGTAAGCCCTATAAATGCTCTTCTTTTTCACTCACACAGTATCCCAATGCTGATGTGAAGGGAAGGACAGCAGAAGATGAAGGCAAGGTAGAAAGCTCCGAGACAAAGGTGTGGCAGCGGCAGTGAGGGAATAAAAGAAAACGGAGGGAGGGGAACACAGAAGAAGAACCATATGCCCGAAAATATTTCCGACGAGACGCAAGAAGAGATGCAATCTATAGACCGAGTGAAAGCATTATTAGCTGCGGTATACTAATAGGAAGGAGGGTCAGCGAGGGATCGATATCTTCTTTAAGGAGGAAAAGAAACGAAAATCATTTCCGACATGGCAGTACTTCAACAGGATACAGACGGGATTAACGACTGACTAGGCAATTATCAGGCTAAATGGAGTCACTACCATGTCTCCAGCTGTGGGAACCGTAGTCCCTTTGCCGAAGGACCAGCCACCGACCCATCCATGATGACTCGTGTGGTATCGGGGAGCCGAAAGGAGAAAGCTGACAGACACATTGGGCCATGGCACAAAGAAAAGATCATTGTAGGGAGGGATAGCTGCAGGCGACTGGAGACGCGAAGCAATATCCACCGGGAGTCCAATGCATGCAGGTCAGTTGGAGCAGTAGAGGCGGGAGATCATTGTATTATTACAATCAGTACCAGTGGGACCGGTAATACTAGTACTTCTACAACGATATCGAACAGCGTGAGGTTACATATTCTCACTTTTGGCTCTTGTTCTTTGATAGTAGCGGTTGGTCAGTTAATTTGGCTTCAAAGTATCTATAACCTTGTCCAGTTTCGTGGACGTAGTTCAAAAACATTGAATCGAAGCTTAATTACTTGGTGCTCGCTCGGTTTCTTCATAGAATAATACCTCCCAACTGAGAGAAACTAAGCTTATCTGGCACCGCACAGGTTACCATTCCCAGAAAGACAGTAGTAGGTGGTAAACTCAGTACGCCATATTTTATGAGGTTACTAATCAGACTATCAGATTTGCGGCTTAAACGTTAGCCGGTTATATTCTCAATTGCAAGCTGCGCCTTCTGGTGAGACTTCCAAGAATTCCTCTCTCCCTCATCTCATCACCGAGACTATATTTATCAGATTGAATGCTCGGGGTGCATGCAGCCAGAAAATGAATACCGAAGAGATGGTGGCGGCTTTCTGTCACCGCACGACGCAACAAGTAATAGGCGCAGTTGCCAACTACTTTTTGGTCCTGGAAGTGAACAAACCGTCGATAAAATCTATTATTAGCCCCAGACTCTCGATAACTGACACCTGGCGCATGTCACTGGGGGTTTGATGAAGCAATACAGATCGGGCGCCGAACACGATTTCCTGGGTGTTGTCCAGAAACATTACATGACAGCTAATACATCGTGATACAACAATTGCCAAGAGATCGGTAAACCTCAGCTGAATCCCTTGCTTGCAAGGTTTAGAGAAATATGAGGAGTACGATAGTAGATTACGAATTAGATGCCTCATATCTAGTTCAGACTGAGACTGGCGGGATCGTTTCAATAGCGGATCTCGGCAGCTGGTAGAACTTACTAGGGATACACATGCAAGGAGACTCAGCGAGTAGGTAACTTCGACATCGTTGAACTCAACACCAATCAGTTAAAGTGGGCTAGTAGACAAGTTTTTAGATCTCTTATCTGCCAATCTTCGTGGCGAACTTGTTGAGTAGAGTTTAGATAGGGAGAATCGTAAAAGTCGAGCCGATGTGATCTTTTGACCCAAGGTCGTTTCTCGCAACTCTTGTATTGTTCACCTCATCCTAAGGACAGACCTCGGAAGAGTCTTACATAACTTGAAGGTTTTCGCTTGAGAGAAAGCTGTCATATAAACCCGGCACTTAAGTATATGCAATGCAGGAGCCACGACGTTCGTTGGGACCGGAGTGACTTGCGGGCACTGACTTCGTTTGTCTGTAAATTACAGGGTATCAGATGAATAACACATTCAAAGTTGAAAGCGCCAGAATTAGCGCAGGCTTAATTGGCATATAGTTGTCTTATTGGATAATCCTCGATTAAAGAAGCTCCACCCAGATCGCTTCGCGGCGGCGGGGTCACGGGTGGGTTCCAAAGTTGGAGGAGTTCGTCCTTTGCTGCCCCGGCGTTTCTTCCCTTCATGATCGCGACCAGGATCTGAGAAGAGGACTTAGCGACATCCCGAGGCCGAGGCAACCCACGATCTACGGCTACCTCATAATCCCCTTACTCGCCGAATGCCATTTTATCCCGCCACCGGATTTATTCGCGGAGGCCAGGAGAATTGTGGTTCTGACACAACCGAGGGCTATCCATGATAAGAACATTCAACATTCATACAGCTGTCTTCTTGCTGAACCAGACTTGCTCACGAAAAGAGAGCCTGTTTTGCTGGTGTAACAACATGGCAAGCCAAGAACTCAGCAAAGTGCCAAATGTTGGACGATCTCGCTCGCTTGGTCATTACGCAGCTAGACACACCGTCATCAGTGTCTAAAAATAATATGGAAACGGTTCTCGAATGCTCAATGCTACATAATAAGGAATTTCTTACAAGAAGGAGCGGTCGGAAATTCACGCCTCTGCGAGGTGGCTGACACCATACACAGAAACTTATACTCGGCGGATCAATGCATTCAGCAATTGCCATCAGTATTACTACAGTACTGCGGTCAACTTTAGTGAAAATATAGTCTCTATCACGCACTCAGCAAGGTCTTTTTCATCCAGTGTGCAATGCGTGACAGCTTTCTGTTCTTTGTGAGACACGACCTGCATCGTTTCTGACGCGGCAAGCGTCTCAGACCCGCAACAGTAAAGTGCAAAAACCTCCAATCGCATTGGTTTCTGCATATTTGAGAACCATATCAAGAAATGAAGAGGAATGATCGAGCTTCTTGACTTGTATCCACTTTTCAGTCTTTCGAAAACAGCTAGCTTATCCATTGCGCAGGTGTCGCTCATTTCTACTTCGATATATATGCACATGGCAAGGTTATCGTTGCCCCTACATATCAGATGCATGAATATTGGGGGATCCGCAAAATTGACTTGTTATACTGGGGCTTTCTCACACCACAAGTACGTATCACATTATGCATGATTATGAGAAAACTTGGCTCAAGAACAGCATCGCGTGTTTGCGAATTCCGCCAATTACCTCGCCTTCAGAAGAATATCAGAGCATGAAAACGTATACGGAAAAGATATGCAACTTTTTGTATACCGAGCCGAAACTTTGGCCACCTGTTCAGTACAAGGTGTTGCTCGTGGATCCATAAGCACTTCGGTCTGCCTTCCTAGAAAACCCAGCCTGATTGCGCGTTACTTCGGCCTATATTATGCATGGGGGCCACCAGTGACTCTATATTGCTCTCGAGCTCCGAGTTTGCCATGGAAACCTCGCTTCACCGGTCTTCCAAAGCTGTTAACACAGCCGCCTCTCTGAGAACCGCGCCGGCTGTACCCTACGCCATGTATGCGGTGTATGACGAGAACTTTTCAGCTCAGCCACTGCGCTATTATTTCCCTGTTTTGTGCTCTTTCTTTCCACATAACATTGAAGCGATCAAAAAGAACGGCAGGGTTTGCCTTGCCACCCTTATCATTCTGATATCAGCAGTTTTTCCACTGCCCACTGCGGCAAGTCTATACCAAGGAACCCGTCAGTACTGGAAACCCACGGGTCGTCAATATCAGAAAACAATAATCGGTGGCCTTCGCGGGTATGTTGGCGGAGACTCCTAGTATTGCCAAATGTCAGCTCGAAAGGCATTGAAGCAGTCGGGGCACTCGCCCAAACTGTCGGCTCAGAATTCAATCCTTGCAGTCTCAAGTCTGTGCTTTCGACTCCTCTTTCATGCAGCGTGGAGGACTCGCGCCTGTTGGAGGCCGGCGAAAATCGATTCTCGTACTCGCGGTTGCCATTGCGTAACTCAATAGCGGCGGCTTATGGGCGTAGTTCTCGATATTCTAAACCGGGTATGAAGTCTACGTGTTGTATTCATTATCAAGGTCAAATATGATGAAGTATTTGGGTAAAAACTGCGTTGAACGCTTAAACTGTTTTTATTTCTAAATCAAATATATATATATGGTAGCCGTATTGACCTACCCAGAAGAATATCAGTATAAGATAGTTTGTGACCGTTTATTTGGCCATCAATCATATATTCGAACCCGAGTCATACATATATATACTCCCGTGAGAATGCAGGTAAATCAACACGAGGCGGGCATTGCCAATTGGTAGAGATGCGGCCGCAGGCCCGGACAGCTCGATCTAAGCATTAAACGTAGCAATCGTTCATTCAAACTCATTAGTCAATTAAAGCCATCTGGAAACAATTGACCACATCTACTGAGCACCATAGTGTGCCTGGTAGTCCTTCAATCTTTGAATCTCCTTTTCCCCAATATCACCACCAAGCTTCTCAATCAAATCATGAAGACCAATGACAGCGCGAACAGGAACCTTATCGCCCAAATCCCTCTGTGCAACGCCGACGGCACTCTTTGCCTCGCTTTCACTAACCCTCTCCTCCCGATCTAAGAGAACCACAACACCAGAGACAATACCACCTTCCTTCTCAATAATGCCCACAGCCTCGCGCAGTGCCGTCCCAGCCGTAATCACATCATCGACAATAACAACCCTCTTACCCTTCAGCGGCGCCCCGACGATGTTTCCACCCTCGCCGTGGGCCTTAGCTTCCTTGCGGTTGAACGAGTAGCTAACGTTGTTCCATGTACCCTTGGGCGAGCCGGAGAGATCATCACGGACGGCCAATTCATTCACCACGGCAGCGCAGATGGGGATACCCTTGTACGCAGGACCGAAGACAATGTCAAAGTTGGGCGTTGTGGTCCCATCATCGGCGGTGGTGACGAACGGCGGGGTAGAGAGGACGCTCGCGTAGGCGGCGGAGGTGGCGCGGAGGAGGGGCGCAGTGTGAAGGAGGGAGGAGGTAAAGAAGTAGGGCGATTCACGACCGGACTTGAGGGTGTAGGTGCCGAAGGAGAGGACTTTGTTGGAAATGAGGAGGGGGAGCAGGGATGCCTTGTAGTCTGGGTGGGCCGACATTTTGCGATCTTTCTATGTATGTGATTTTTTTTAATTAGATGATTGGTCCTTGACTTTAGTGCGCGAGGTCTAGAGAGCGCGGCAATGGAGAGAAAAGAGAGTAAGACGTCAATTGTGTTGCTATGGAAGGGAATGCAGAGGAGACAGCACAGGCGTTCCTGAGATTTCCCATCGGTCATTTTTTTTTCGCCGGAACCAGAGCGAGGGCGGGGAGGGAATTGAAGGAGGGGCGGGACGGTCCAACTGCACCTTCCCTCTCTGTTCCCCTCCTCCGCCCTGTTCTTCTTCTCTCTACCTCTCCGCACTCTCACGGTGACTGAGCCCATTGCTGTTTTTGTTTTCTTTCCTTGCTTGCATCGGAGTATTCCATTTCGGGGGAAAACACGTGCTAGCTAGCCCGCCAGAACCTCCGAACTCCGGACCTGAGGGGTCCCCATCTTCTGCATTCCTTTCGTCTCGGAGCAGGCTCTCTCTGTTGACTGCTCGTCTGCTTTTGCGTGTGTGCCGCCTCGAAGAAACAGAAACTCTATTTTTGTTTTTTACATCTTATTTTATTTGGGTTGAAGTTGCGTGGTTGCACTTCAGACTCGACTTACGCAAAAACTCACCGGCCAGCTGCCCTGTCAGCAAAACGAGGGAATTAATCCGTTGCGTTGAGATTGAGTATCCTCAAACATACTGCTGTTCTTAAAGCTGTTATTGCACCCCATGTGAGTAAAAGAACCTTTATTTCCAACAATGGTATTGTCTATTGTCGGTCGTTTGCTGATGGTTTCGGCGTAGAATAATCAGCTCTCAAAATGCACGTCTCAGAGAAGCTTTCCCAAAATGAAGCAGCCGGTAAAATCGGTATCTCGTTCGAGTTCTTTCCTCCCAAGACAGCCCAAGGTGTGCAGAATTTGTACGACAGAATGGATCGTATGCACGGTTTGGGCCCCTCCTTCATCGATGTCACATGGGGGGCTGGTGGACGACTGTCGGATTTGACTTGTGAGATGGTCAACGTTGCTCAGTCGGTCTACGGTTTGGAAACATGTATGCATCTCACCTGCACAGATATGCCTCAGGAGAGAGTCGATGGTGCGCTTCAGGCCGCTTACAAGGCGGGCTGCACGAACATTCTCGCTCTGCGCGGTGACCCACCCCGTGAAAAGGAGACATGGGAGGCCACGGACGGTGGTTTTCGGTACGCAAAGGACTTGGTCAAGTACATTCGAGAGAAATACGGGAACCACTTCTGCATTGGCGTTGGAGGCTACCCGGAAGGTGCCGATGACAACTCTGATGTAGATCTTTTGATCGACCATCTCAAGGAGAAGGTCGATGCTGGCAGTACCTTTGTTGTCACCCAGATGTTCTACGATACAGACAACTTCATCCAGTGGGTCCAGAAATGTCGAGCCAAGGGTATCACCGTGCCCATCATTCCCGGGATCATGCCTATCCAGACATACGCTGCTTTCATTCGACGGGCGAACTGGACAAAGACCCGGATTCCTCCCGATTGGCTTGAGACTTTGGAACCGGTGAAAAACGATGATGCCGCCGTGAAGCAAATTGGTAAAAGCCTAATCGCAGAAATGTGTAGGAGATTAATTGATTCTGGCATCAAACACCTGCACTTGTAAGTTTATAATCTCCCCGTTGTGCATTGCGGAAATTAACAGCGCCCTAGCTATACAATGAATCTCGCACAATCCACGCAGCTTGTCCTTGAAGACCTACAACTCATGCCAACAGCTGAGACCCCTGTTCCCAGGCCTTTGCCTTGGAGGCCTTCTCTTGGCCTGAACCGGAGAGAAGAGGATGTCCGACCCATCTTCTGGCGGAACCGAAATTCATCATATATTGCCCGGACTCAGATCTGGGACGAATTCCCCAACGGCCGCTGGACAGACTCTAGGTCACCCGCCTTTGGGGAGTTGGATTCCTATGGTGTAGGAATCAAGGGCACCAACGAGCAGAACATCAAATTATGGGGCGAGCCAAAGTCTATTCGTGATCTTGCAGACGTCTTTGTCCGTTTCCTGGAAGGCCAACTCGATCGACTTCCTTGGAGTGACACTCCTATCACTCCCGAAACAAATGCCATTAAGGATCCCCTTGTTGAGCTTAACAAGCGAGGCTTTTTGACTATCAATTCCCAACCCGCAGTGAATGGCGTGAAGTCTTCTCACCCTATATATGGATGGGGACCGAAGAACGGTTTCGTCTACCAGAAGGCGTACCTTGAGCTCCTTATCCCTGCCTACTTGATTGACGAGCTGATCTCTCGCATTGAAGCAAATGAGGACCTGACATATCACGCCGTGACAAAGCACGGGGAATTGCGTACAAACACCCGTGATAGCCCCAACGCTTTGACATGGGGTATCTTTGCTGGACGCGAGGTTGTACAGCCAACAATTGTGGAAACTGTTAGTTTTCTGGCCTGGAAGGATGAGGCATACCAGCTAGGTGAGGATTGGGCCAAGTGCCATGATAGCGCAAGCCCAAGCCGTAAGTTGCTCCAGGGCGTAATGGACTCGTGGTATCTCGTCAACATTGGTAAGTGACTTTAATATAACCTCAGCATGCTGTTCTGACCACATCAATAGTCAACAATGACTTCCACAACACTTATGACCTCTTCAAGTTATTCAAAGACTTGAATGTCGAGGACATAGATGTTGAGTTCGCAGGCGAAAAACCTGAACCGAAGGTTCAGAATGGAACGACGAACGGGACGACGAACGGCACCACTAATGGGGCTACACCGGAGCAGTCCGTAAAGAACTAGGCATCTCAACACCTGCCATGTCCTGTTTAACACAAAAAAAGCCCCCGTTGATGCAACTCTTGCATCTTTATACAAACATATAATTCAACACCTAATTTTCAACACTTCTCTCAACGATACCTGCCTGGGCAAGTTCCTAGGCACTGAAATGTTTTACGTCGATACGAATGAAGACCTCTCAACGATTTCTTCCTCTCAAGCGTTTTTAATTCAACATGACTTTTCCATTCTCAACAATATACCCTCGCGTTTCTCTCTTCCGACTTTTTTCTGAGCATGAGAATCTTTGACATTCAACATTATTCTTTTTTGTTTCTCCCAGGGGAGAGAACAATTGAGAATCCCAAAAATCTGCATGAGTGGTCTTACGATAATTCAACACTATAACGGGCGGAGTTTTTTATGATATGAGTGAGTGACAGCTGCCGGGTGCTGCAGTTGTTCACCAAAAGTGATCGCATCCTCTTCAACATGGGATACGGATGGATTGGAGTCCTTTTTTGTTTGCATGGGTCTTGGATATCGATTTTCATCCCTTCCCGCCCCCCTTTCTTCTATATTAGTTTCATCCTGTCTAGCCTGACTTGGTGGATATTATTGTACGTACACGGGGATTACTGGCTGGTTCGTACCGAGTTGAGTTGATAGAGCCAGATATTCCCTTTCTCTTGGCTTATAGAAAAGAGAAAGATAAATAAATAGAAACTCCGTCGTCTGACAAGACGGATATTCAACATACAAAAACCCTTTACTTTTGAGACTTTCACTTTTCAGACAGTCTAGAGGAGACCCAGAGTCACATATTTGGATTGCTAGGGTAAGCAGACAATATACATGATATTAACCCGCGCGTAACGATAAGCCAAATAATAGCCAACGACGGGTTTAATCATAAAAATACAAACAGGAAAAATGTAAAAATGCTCCGACAACCCCGAATGACTCCAAGAACGGCCTGTAGCTAGGAACGGAACGAAAAGTAGGGCGAATACGAAAAGAGTAAGAACGAGAAGCAGCGAGCAAACGGTCGGCTTATAGTAGGAACAGAATTCGTGAGATCGCACGGATGGTCAATGCAAAGGGTCTTACAAACCACATTATCCAAGCTCCGAAGAGAATCACAACGCCCACTGCTCGAGAGACGATCATGGCAACAAATCCAAGAATGAGGAGATACGCCATCGCTTGGCCCAAATCGGTTAATAACCAAGCAGCGTCCTTGTCGTAGGCCTCGGGCCAAACTCCTGTAGAGTTGTACGCGGATATGATAGCCAACCCCTTTCTAAAGACACATAAACAATGCTCGAGCATTCCCAGAATGCCATTCATGAACAGCTTGAATAACACCAGCTTCGAGCCGCGATTCGCTCTGATTTGGTGGTAAAACCCTTGCACCTGAGCGAAGAAGAGGAAAATCGTGTCGATGACCAAATGAAAGGTCTGCGAGCTCATAATCCTCCTAGTATGAGGCCGCGTCTCGCTACCACTTTGGTCCTGGTTGGAGTGCGAGACTTTGCTATCGGAATTATTCTCGCGATGATCATCCAGTTGGTGCCCGTCTAGTTCAGCGACGTCAAAAATTTTCGCTTGCATTATTGTGCCACGGGGCCGTGGTGAGCTCTTAGGGGTCGGTGAAAGAGATTTCGTGCTGGTAGGTCCCGGGCTTTTTACTTCTGGAGAATTGGATGATAAGGTCGATTTTTTCGGCGATATATGGCTTGCTCTGGTCGACGAACCTGCGGAGGTAGATTCCGAGGGGCTATCTAGTAGAGGCTCGATACGGGACTCGGTGGAGGACTTGCGGATTCCTGGCGTACGGGTGAACCCACGTATACCTCGCGGCTTTTCTCCGGTGACGGGCTTTACTGTGGCGGTGATGGGCTTTATTTTGGCGACGGCCATCGGCTCTGCTCGTTGTTTGACGACGGGAATATTCGTGGATGCTGCCGGATCCAAAGGTTTTGCAGAGGGCGCGCTTGATTTTCCCGATGAATTTTGACTCACTCGACGTAGGCCTGAAGGCGAGACACCCCCCTTGGTGTTGTTCATCGAGACCTTCGTGTTGATCCACGGTCTTGTTCGAGCGTCGGTGATGATTTCGCCTGCGCTTCGTGAGGTGGGTTCCCGAGGGCTGGTGTGCTTGGGTATGTTGCTTCTTAAATCTCCCATAGTCACCATAGTACGTGTTATAGTGGGTGTGATAATGAATACATCGTCCGGCCTGGGAATCGGCTTCTGGTTCTCTGAAGTCCCGGTCTGAGTCCCCGTAGAACCTTGTTCGTCTTTCGATGGTTGGATCGTAGAATTTCTTGTCTTCAGTTGCTGACACTGTGCTTCTCGGCACAATACCTTGGGTGTTGGCTTCGAGCATTGGGCATGCTTCAAATTCTGAAAAATTGGTTCCCATTCTTCTTGAACAAGACTCGTCTCTCCGGGTTCTCTCTTCGGCTGCTGTGTTTGTGCCAGTTTGGATTCTCTGCGAACCCTGGGCATACGGGAAGCTGATATATTCACGACTCTTGGGCGTTCTGGTGTCGAAAAGTACAGAATTTCGTCCGGGTTCCGATCGTGTGGGCCATTGATTTCCTTGCACCCTAAAAAAGAACCATCCACGTTTTCATGAGGAGATTTCTTTCTAGGGCCTATGGATGACTCCTCCCAAATTGTACTACATCTCTGCTTCCCGATTTCATCGGGGCAGTAGTAACGGGGATGACTAGGGCTGTATGCCGATTTATCATCTATCTCTGTATTCGATGCAGGCGGTCGTGAATCCTGTCCGTCCAGTGTTCCTAGCCGCTTTCCGCTCGGGTCGGGGGGCTTAAAATGCTGCTCTGGTGTCCCATTACGCGGGCTAGGGAGAGTGTCGGGATCGACCATCGACCCTCCTTCCGTCTGTACTCTCTCAATGCTGCTTTGGTATTGAGCAATTTGCCGCACATTCATGGTAGGAGGATTGGGATCCCTTGCAGACGGCATATGGACAACGAATCTATCCTCCCATTCTTTCATCGACGACGGGCCAGATATGGGAGACACAGAAGAATTTGAATTGTAGGTCGAGTCGGTAGTACTGCTCGACTTATATCTTTGACTGGATAATCCACTCCCGTTTGAGCTGGCCGAACGGTTACTACTTGTCCGCCGCTTGTCGTCTGAAGATCGATCTCGACTGGGTGAGGTACTGTCTTTGGGCTTCTCTCGTTCAGGTGTCGAATACTTCGGCTTCGTTTTGTAATCTGTCTTTGGCGTAGATTGTTTCTCGCTCGAGGTGCCACCGGTATATTTCCACTTATGCTTTGCTATTTCTTGCCGCGGTGCATTGGCCAACGAGATGATCTTTTTGTACGCTGGATTCTGGGTTACCTTGGGCTTCTCTCTGTTCCATGACGCCGACAAGTCTTTGTCCAATTTATCCCTAACCTTTCGCCAGTATCGCTCCCGTTCCTGATCCAAGGGCCTGGGCGAACCATGCTCGGATGAGCCGTCGTGCCCTTTTTGTTTAATCGGGGCGGCAACACCGTTTTGCCCACTAGGCTCCTTATCTGTGGGGACTTTGAGTACAGGAAGTTTGGTTGGCGTAGTCCTAGATCGAGGCGGGGATTTAGATGAACCGGCCTCAGAGGCATTGCCTTCTGAAAGGGCTGCTAGTTCGGCCACCCCGTTCCGAGCGTTGTTCATGTCAGAATTGTGTATTCCACCCTTGCCACGATGGTGTCGAGATTGAAGGTTGAGCATACGCCCGTTCACTAGATCGTAGGCCATACCGACACGCTCGGGTTGTACACACGGATGGCGTCGACTTAAAGTCAGTAGTGATTATTTGCCTGAGACGCTCCTTCCATGGGTATTTGTCGAGACAAGACTTGATCCGCAGCAGGTGAAAATCGCGTTCACTATCTGGGCGTTGGGGAAAGAACCATCGAGGTAGGGCAACCACGGTGTAAGAACATCGGAGGACATCTGGTACGGAATGGCACAAATGGGCCGGGAACGCGTATAAGTCGAAGGCCGAGGGATTGGAATGTAACGCATTGGGTCGCCACGATTGAGAATGCACCACTCAACGAGTGCGGAATGTGCTTCCTCATGTTCCGATATAGCTTGGAATGCAAGTCACATCCTCGGGAGGAAATTTGTAGGAAAGGAAGGCGCGTCATTGGTGCCGATATGTGGCAGGCAGAGCATGCTTCACGGTAATCGTAGTACGTCAAACCTTACTCTGGAAAAGTCTCGATGATCGCGGCGTCCATCTGGTGGCGACGGAGCTCCCCAGCCACATTCCAGAATTGATAGATACGCGAGTCTACAAGACGTCGCGACCACATAAGGCTGGCATAGCTATACATTAAAGTATTAGACCGGATCACGCATCCCCCGACGTATTCAAGGGTTATTTGTGTTATCCAGTATAAGTCCTCATAACGTTAATCAATTTCAACTTGGCTCAACTAAAAGCGCCCGGTTTCCCGGCGGAGATTGCTCTTGCTGCTTGTTCTCGGCATCATGGGGCTAGGTGCGACTGACACATTGCTCTTCTTCAGCGGGCTTGAAGGTCGTGCACTTCGTTCTCTATAGAAGAAATCCCCGTTGTTGTGCAGGCGACGATCAAAATTACCCGTAGTGGGCTTTCGCAGCGGAGAATTAGCGTGTGAGTATACCCCAAGACTACCACCATCACCTCCTGTGTGAGTTGGGGTTTGTCGAAATTGAGGCTGGCGGATGGAACCTAGAGGGGCTTTGACGGCAGGAGAAGCGTCCCGCAAATGATTTGGAGTTTGGACCGAGTGAGATGTTCTTATCGGCGTAGAAGAGAAGGAGCTATTCCGAGAGGAGTTTCCTTCTGGGTCGATATGCCTCACATAGCTGGGGTTTGGGCTAGTTCTAAATCCCCGGTTTATAACAACAGCTGGCGCAAATGTATCAACCTTGTTATATTTCTCTTCGAAGTCAAGGTTGGGTCCTGAGAACTGAGTCCCCACCTCTCTCATCAACGGCTGAGTTCTGGGATGAACAAATTTCGTGTCATATTCCTTCAGCACTTCCTTTTGAACGACCATAGCGTCCTTGGCCTGCTGTTTGAAGAACGATGAGAGGAATGACATTTGCACGGATAGTAGGGCCGTCACCACTAGAGTGGTAACGATGGTAACGCTAGGTCGAGGGTCGGAAAGCTGTGTAGGCAGGAAAATCCAGTAAATAAGGACATGAACAGGGCTGAAGAGGCAGAATAGCCGGAGGCAGATTGGTAGAGGGTCCCAAACCGCAAGTTCCCAGACATCGCGCGTGGCATTTGGGTGGGCCCTCGACTCCGCAGACCCAGTAAGCGCATGAGCAAGGTATCGGATTGGCGAAGCCGTCGCTGGGGTAGAATCGACTCGAACACGTTGAGCAGATGGTGTTGCAGGGGTTTGGTCGACCGAGGCTTCAAAAAGGCGATAGTGTCGTTTCCGTTGGAACGTGTAGAAGGTATTCAAACCGGCGACGCAGATTAGGAAGTGGACGATGAACGATGCCTAGCAGATAACAGTCAGTTCCCAAGATACTCTTACTAAATGTATTCAGAGGCAGCCACTTACCAGCCAACTCAGCAGAGAAACTCCGTCGCCATCGCCAAACACATCATCAACGGCTTGGCTGCCGCTCTGCCGACTGTTGGCCCTCGCAATCATAAATACAATGTTCATAGTCACACCCAGTGGCAGCGCCCAGTTTTTCTCAAACTGTTCCCAGTCGTTTGCATCAATCTCTTCCGATAGCCAAAGCAGAAAGTCCAGCGGGTTTAGATAGGACTTGATACGCTCCGCCAACGGCTGGCGGCGTACAAGGCGAGGCATCGTGATGTCAAGGAAAAAGGACGTCGGAGAAGCAGGGAGCGGAGATGTCGATTGTTGGAGAAGAATATTAAACTCAAAGATGATCTTCCACCAAACCACGAAATGGCCAAAGACCGACCTTTTGAGCTTCGAACCAGCTTGCAGAAGTAAACAACGCAGCATAATAGTACACAGAAAAAAGATGGGGAGCTCGGATTATGTAAGCGGAGCTAAGGCCACGAGTTCCACCTGCTGATTGACTAACGGCATTTGGGATGACGATTGGGGGCCCGGCGGCACGGGATTAACATCAAGATCAAAGCTCGACGATTGACAGCTGCGGTGGCTTTGATACAGGCTCGGATTCTTGCCTGCGCAATTATATCTCATCGGAACGATCTCTAGATCGTACTGTCGATTCTTAACTCCTTCACATTTCAGTTCAATCACCATGGCGGCAGGCCCCGTGGCTTATAAGGTACCGATTGCTACCCCCCTCACTTGGGACATCTTCTAAATACAGGATACACACTACAGGACCGACAGTTTCTCGCTGTCATTGGCGATGAAGAGTAATACAACCGCCGTCCTATGTGCTCAAAGGAGACAATCCTCGCTAACATGCCACCAGCTCCGTAACTGGCCTTCTTCTCGCCGGGATCGGGGTAAGTGTCGACACACACCATAACATGGAACAGCAATATACTAATTCATATTTCGTATTATCCAGCACGTCACAGCTGGCCCAGATCCGCAACGAAACTTCCTAGTTGTCGACGCAAAGACTGAGACCTCAGCAATCGAGAAAGCATTCCAAGACTTCACGCAAGAACGGAAGGATATCGCTGTCCTTTTGATCAACCAACACGTATGCCTACCCATACAATGCGGCCGCTGAACACGATACTGATTAATATAACAGGTGGCAGAGCGCATTCGAAATGTCGTCGACGCGTACTCCGAAGCTTTCCCCGCCGTGCTCGAGATCCCATCCAAAGACCACCCATACGACCCTGAGAAAGACAGTGTATTGAAGCGAGTGCGTCGGTTATTCGGCGAATAGATCGGTTTAGCCTTAGCGTGTTCATGTTCGTTTCTGTTGTATATCATTGGGCATTTTTTACGTCCCGCGCATGACATTCGGTTTCAGTTATTGTCAAGCTCCATCGCAATCAACCTATAGAGGTAGAGGTTCATTTTTAGTCTACGCCTTTCATTTGGCCACCAGCGCGGGTATTTAAATATGCAGGACTTAGTAGGCAGTTTACCGAAATGTTGTATTAAGGGCAATAAACCTGAAAGAGTATCCGAATATACTTGCTTTAAAAGTCAAACTGACCCCCAAACTACGGAGGTGTAGATAACATGCGAAGATGCTCGGTTCATAATATGCATATCGGAGGTCACGCAAAAGCTATTCAAGCACATCCCGAACGCCGGAAAAGACGTAGCACTCGTACATTATTAACAGGGATCGCGGGAGGGTGGCCATGATCCAACGTCTGTTAAAAAAAAAAAAAAAGTTGGGAACGGCGAGGTTTGGACAGCAGTGCAGAGTTGGCAGAAAGTAATAGGATCTGGATGTGCGATGGTGAAAAATCATAGAGTTGCAAAATCATGTAAGCGTTACTGAAACAAAGTCATGGCCGCAGTAAGGAATGGATATCTATAGCCACTTAGAACTGAATGTTCTTGGCATCCAGGCAGGTGATCCTCTTGTCGTTCTTGTCGTAGACGTCCGCATGGACAGTGTATTTACCCTTTTGCATATTGTTAGCCTAGTCGACAAAGGTTGAGCTTCGAACAAGGGACATGTCCAACGTACTGGAGGAATCTGAGCCGGCAAATCAACCTCCCTGGTAAGGACTAGGGGACCTTCCTCCAACGGACACTCTAGGTTCACATTGACGATCTGATCACAGAGGTCGGGTCTTTGCCTAAGAAGGGTGATCAACCCGTACTTGACTTCCAGAAGAACATATGCGCCCTTTTCAACTCGTTCATGCAGAACACCCTCGGCCTTTATCTTAAGAGTTTGACCACTAGAGAGTATTAGCAACGTAAATGGGGGAGATAAGAGATCACTAGGCGACTAACGGCTTTGGAGGGTTTGGAGCTAAATCCACGGATTTGATATCGAGCAGGTTGCTACTCGGTTCTGTGCAGAACTCCAGCGGGTTATCGCCGTCGACAGGAAAATCCTGTGCTATAACATCCTGCCCAGATCCAAAGAACGAAGCGGGTGTAGCGGTCACAGCCAACGGGGCCAAGAGCAGAGCGGCGGCGGACGATGAGAGCTTCATGGTTTCGAACGGTAATCGAGGGCAAGAATGAAGGACGGTGCAGTTAACACTGCAGATACAAGGACGGGCGTATATTTACCCAGGAACGAGTACCCAAGAACGAGCTCGCAGTCGTGAGAAAGAAGAGAGATGTTGGAGAATGGTGTCATAGGAGTCGAAGCGCCTTGGAGGTCGGTGATCACTGACCAATGGCTGGGTGCACGTGATGACGCCGCTTATCATTTCCAGCCAAGCCACTTTCCTCCAGGCTGTCCGGCGCGTGACGCTGATGTTTGTTGAGCAATGCTTCCTTCCAAAGCATGGCACGGGCTAAGTGCTCTGTGAAGACTGGTATTTTATTATGTAACGACAAACATATTGCCTTATTGTTGAAATGTTGGCCAGCTAGCGAAATCAAACCTCGCTCTTGTATACAGCCTCCAGTAGAATTATCTTAGTCGGGAATATCCGCCCACACTCGACTCCGTTCGCCTCCACAGACACTGCCAAGTTGATACCGTGATAGCTTTGAGGAAGTTCCCTGTCTAACCAAATTCATTGAGATATATTATTTACAGGCTATACAGTAGGTCATACACATTGCTCGTCTAGTGTTCGGAAACGAAGATACCGGCCATGCCCATACCCTGGAAGAAAAGGATTAGTTCGAAGTCAAAATTGTTCTTGGAGGACTAATAGCTCACCGTTCCAACACACATGGAGGTTACAGCCACTCTCTTGTTCTGCCGTCGCAGTTCTGATAGAGCAGTAACAACCTGGCGTGCGCCTGTTGCTCCCAACGGGTGGCCAAAGGCAATGGCACCACCGCGAGGATTCACCTTGGAAATATCCAAGCCTAGCTTCTGAACACAGTATACACCCTACATCGCGATTAGCATGTCTCTCCTGCTCCAAAATAATAATAATTCCATACCATGGAAGCGAATGCCTCGTTGATCTCAAAAATGTCAATTTCGTTGTTGGTCAAACCGAACTTGGAAAGAATCTTAGGAATGGCCAACGAGGGACCGATGCCCATGATTCTGGGCTCCAAGCCAACAACTGTTGCTCCAGCAAACTTGCCAATAATGGGCTGCCCGAGTTCCTCCGCGCGAGATCGCTTCATGAGCAAGACCGCCGCAGCGCCATCGGTGATCTGACTGGCATTGCCACCAGTGGTGTTGCTTGGCTGCCATTGAGGGAACGCGGACCGAATCTTGCCCAGCGACTCCGCAGTTGTGCCATAGCGGATGCCATCGTCCTTGTCAACAACAACGGATTTGATTTCGCCAGTCTTGGGATCTTTAATCTGCGTCTTGACGGGGACGATCTCGTCCTCAAACCAGCCAGCCTTCTGAGCGGCCTCTGCTTTCTGGTAGCTGTTGGCAGCGAACTGGTCATGCTGCTCACGAGAGATACTGAATTGACCGGCAACGTTCTCAGAGGTCTGACCCATGGGCTGCGTGTTCTGCGAAGCAAGAGGGTGCGACAGAATCGAATTAGACAGGTCTGGCGCACCGCCGTCGGCATTGGTGCTCATGCTCTCTGCGCCAACGGCAATACCAACATCGATCGAGCCAGCAATAACTTGGTTCGCAATGTTCTGGATTGCCAGCAACCCAGAAGAGCAGAAACGGTTGGTAACAGATGCGGCAGTAGAAGCGGGGAATCCTGCCGCAAGCACAGCAGAACGGGCAACGTATGCCTGTCCAGGGCAAAGAGTGTTGCCAACACAGACATCTTCAACAAGGGTAGGGTCCAGCTTGGACTTTTCGCGCACACTCTATTTGATTTATTAGGCCGAATACCACAATTTTATTGGGTTTAATTGCCGCCATACCGTCAATAGGGAAATTAGCAGGTCATCCAGACGAGTGTCCTTAAGACCACCTTTCCTCGCCTTTGTGAGCGGAGTTCGAACAGCGAGGGTTATTACCTGATCGCAGAGACGTTAGCCATGGGGCTGCTAGATGGTGGAAGCTGAGGGGCTTAACATACCACATCGTCAGGGTTTTTGGCCAGCAACTTCTCCCTGGAGGATGCAGCGGTCGAACCCGAGATTTGGTTCGAGATAGAGGAAAGTCGTTGCTGAGGCGAAGACATTCTTGGGCGGGAAGTGAATGGTATACTGGGGAGGGAAAAGAAAGATGAGCGGAGATTAAGTTCCTCCCCACTATGATATAGGAGCCAGCTACTAGCCTGGGCAAGTCTATCAACCGCGGCTCTGGGGAAGCAAAGAGGAACAAATAATGATTAATCAACCGAGAGGAACCCGGAGGTGGGCCAGAGAGACGGACTGCCGAAAGCCGGTTACGTCCACGAGTTCAGGACCAGTTCCTGCCGACCAATTCGCGGGAGTACATATATTGGATGGCGGTATGCTTATAGACAGCACTGGCCCGAGGCAGAGGCGATTCAAATATTGCTAACGTTTGATTGTACAAGTTCGTGGCTTGTGGTATCTGCCTACAGTGACGAGTGCTCTATCTCGGTACAGGGCGAGAGAGCAATGCCGATATGAGTGCCGCCCAGCAAGCACCGCTCGTATTGTCACACAGTTGTAAGATACGGTAACTTTTGGGGCCGAGGCTGTCGGGGTGGGGTCTTTTTGGTGACAGTCGTAGCGGAGGAAGTGATCTACAACTTCTTTATCAACAACGATTGTTCAACACTTAGACTGATCAAAGTCAACCGAAATGTGGGAGTTTGAGCACCTCAGGTTGCAGTTTGCAGCTGCAGGGGAGACCCCGAAATGTACAGGATTGCGGAGAATTGCGGGGGACTTCCGGTTTTAATGTCCGAAACGAGAGTTGGATCAAGATCAAGGCCCCTCACTAGCACTCTTGGTTTTGGAGATGGGTCAAACGGCCCAAAGCTCCGCTCGTCTCGAGCACTCCATCCTCTGGTTTTCGGATCTGACACGGTGCTGCACTACCGTCTTACCCTCCGTCGACACCTAGGCTGTTCCCCGGTGCTTGTTCCTGTGGGCGGCAAATCCGCCACTATCAGTTCCCGTCCCCAGATTCCGTCTTGGATTTCCAGGCCAGGCTACTGCGTCAGAATAAACAGCTTTCGGGTGCTCTGGGCCCTCTGGGCTTATAATAAGGGACAAAGGGCGCCGCCCAATAATCTATACCCAGTTGATATCTTGTCCTTTTTTCGCCCCAAAATCTGTTTACACCTACGTCGAGAGTGCTGCCATGGATATTCTCTCTGAGATCGGTGTGCCCACTGTGGCTGCCGCATCGGCCCTCTCAGTTGCGACCGCTGTCTACCTGAATGCCAAATTATCCATCTCTACAGATCTAAGTGCCATCCGCAGTGATCGAGCTTGGGGTAAGCGGCTGGCTCATCGCATGTCGCAGCTAGGTGAAACTGTCACCATTTATGGCATGCTGCATCGGGTGGTGGAAATAGAGGGACGCGGCTCTGCCGAAGCTCTTTGGTTTGAAAGTAAATCATGGACTTACTCAGAATTGAAAGACCGTATGCTTTTTTTCTTCGTGTTTGGATCAGTTAAGCATACCTTACTGACTTGTACATAGTCGTGGACCGATTGGCCGCCCTCCTCCATGAGCGAGATATTCACTCGGGGGACTTTGTCGCTATCTTCGCTACCAATTCTCCAGAGATGATTGTTATTCTCTATGCTCTTTCTAAACTAGGAGCCACTGCTGCTCTCATCAACATTAATCTACGAGGTATGAATGCACTTCCCTTTTATCACCAAACTAAGACTTGCTAACTTAATCTAATTAACCAGACGACACTTTCATGCATTGTCTCAACGTCTCGGGCTCCAAGTTTATAATTTCTACACCAGATCTATCAGAATTTGTGTGCGCAGACTTGCCTCATATGTCGTTTAATATATCATCGTTTGACGGCGTCTCTGCTGCGTCTGAACTTGTTACAGTCTCACAATTGCAGCAATACTCACCGTCAACGTTGAAAGCCGCAAAGAGATCACCTAGTGATCTCACAGCACTTATATATACCTCAGGTACAACCGGGAAACCCAAGGCATGCGCTGTGCGCAATATGATGGCCATGGTCACATCGAATCCCCTCTCAGTGGATGTCAACAATCCTTCAAGATACTTTCCTGTACGAACATACTGCTCTCTTCCACTTTTCCACGGCACTGCCTATTTCACGGGGCTGTGCTACTCTGTGGGGAACGCAGGAACCCTATGTATCCGCCGCAAATTCTCCGCTTCCAAATTCTGGAAAGACGTTCACGACTCAAGAGCCACCCGGATTCTATATATTGGAGAACTGTGTAGATACCTCATGGCAACCCCTCCCTCCCCATATGACCAAGACCACTCCTGCATTGTCGCCGCCGGTAACGGGTTGCGCGGAGACATCTGGGAACGTTTCCGTCAGAGATTCAACGTCCCCGAGATCCGCGAGTTCTACCGATCAACCGAAGGCATCGCCAAGTTCGACAACTTTGGCTTTGGAGCTTGGGGCGCTGGGAAGGTTGGATTTGGAGGCCCAATCAAGCGCATGCTCGAGGATGACACAGTTCTCGTGAAATACGATACCGACACGGAAATGCCCTACCGGGATCCCAGCACTGGGTTCTGCGTTAGGGCTAGGATTGGAGAGGAAGGAGAGGCGATCGGCCGCGTGAGAAACCGCGGCCTACTTACCGAGTATCTACAGAATGAAGAGGCCACGGAGAAAAAGCTCCTTCGAGACGTGTTTGAGAAGGGGGATCTCTTCCAACGCACGGGTGATTTGCTCGTCCAGGACTTTGACGGGTGGGTGAAGTTCCAAGACCGGGTTGGGGATACCTTCCGGTGGAAGGGCGAGAACGTTAGTGCCGGAGAAATCAGAGACCATATTTCTACTATTCCCGGGGTTCATGACGCCGTTGTTTACGGCGTGAGACTGAATGCGTATGACGGGCAGGCAGGCGCTGCAGGTGTTACTCTTGAAGACCCCTCAGAGGGGTCGGCCGGTGAATTCATTTCCAGGCTTCATGCCGAGCTGAAAAAGAAGGGTGTGCCGTCGTACGCTGTTCCCCGGCTTGTCCGACTGACCGAGAAGTGAGTTTTCCCGCATAAGAATAATGGCATGTGCTATATCTAACCGTTCACAATAGGGTTGCAACAGGAGTAACGTTCAAGCAAGCCAAGGGTGATTTGACGAAGAAGGGCTGGGACCCTCTTGGTGACTGGAACGGTGATAGGCTATATTGGCTGAACGGCACGAAATACGAGAAGCTGACCCAGCCGAGTTGGAAGTCGATTGAAAGCGGGACTGCGAAGCTGTAATGTATAGATTTACTGTATATACTCTTACCTACATAGATCGTGTCACCTACTCCATAGATCTTCTATATAAACCAATCCCTAGAGCCAATCACGCACACCATTTGCAGTGCACAAAGCAACACCCCGCACAAACTACTTTAGGTAGCTGAGGTAACAGGTTTCCAGCCCATCAAGATCGGCAGCAGCGTTACATGGCCGACTGATATCCGCAATCCCCCCCCCACTTTCCACTCCCCAGGCCTCTAAAACTCGCGCTTTAGTAAATCCCGCGATGGCGTTCCCGGCCTAGTTCTATCGCTCCCAATCTTACCGGGAGGGGTCAAATCTGGCGCGGCGAGATTCCGAAATCTCTGCCTCTCGTTTGTCTTTTGAATCGCCGACGAAGACCTCGCCGGCTTGACTATCTTGTGTGCAATTAGCATGGCTTCCCCGGTGTCTCGCGATGGAGATGGGAAACTCCAGGACCCAGTCATCCAGGCTATACCCGACACCGAGATTGGAACACATGTCAATGTCAATGTCGAGCAGCCCACGGCCCCTGACCAGTTCGAGGAGAGGCACCGCACCACCCGCTCAGAAATCTGGGCTTACTATGCGTGCGTGTTATTTGAATCTCACCGGACTCCTTGCTGAACCCAGGCCAGTTATTACATTGGGAACAACGGGCTGTCACTCTTTAGTGAGTCTCCAGACAAGACCTTGGCGAAAGCTTAACCGGCAGTGTGTGCTGCCGTACTGACTAACGGGTTAGATTTTGCACCCACTGCCTTCCAAAATCTCCTGTATCAAGCTGCAGGCGATGAGGAGCTTTTGCTGTTCGCTGAGAAGCCACGATCCATTGAAAGTATTGTACTCCTCTGCAACGGGATCTCCTTCGCTATCCAGGTCGTGGTCTTCCTTATCATCGGAAGCTTCGCCGACTTTGGGACCTGGCGGCCGAATATCCTGATCGGCTTGTCAATTATTGCGTACGGCATCGGCTTTGGCTGGTTGGGCGTGCATGACCCTGAGAAATGGCACGTCGCGATTGGGTTATACATGGTCGGGCTGATCGCCTACCAGACAACCCTAACATTCTGGACGGCTGCGTTCCCAGGCCTAGCGCGCAATACTCCAGAGATGAAGGCTAAAGCAGATGAATACCAATCTGGAAGTATCTCGCGGGAGGAGTACGACTTTGCCGACACGATGAAGCGCAGCCAGCTGGCCAACATTGCATTCTACATACAGTCTGTTGCGGAGGTCTTTATCCTCGCTATCATCGTTGGAATTATGTTCGGGCTGCGCGTCGATGACAGCGAGCAGAACAATAACTGGGGTTTGAGCGTGCTTATTGCGTTTGCTACTGGTGTTTGGCTTCTTGTTTCACTCCCCTGGTTCTTTCTTGAGAAGCGACGGCCCGGGCAGGATACGATGGGTCGGAGTATTGTGGTTGCTGGGTTTCAGCAACTATACCTTGCCGTACAGCAGATTTGGAAACTGAAGCAAAGTTTGCTGTATTTGGTTGGTGAGCTTGATACCTGTCCATGTCATTGTTCGCAGCTTGTACTAATCCGGGGTCACAACAGGGTACTTCCTCCTCGGCGACTCTCTCAACACAACTGTCACTGTGATTGCAACCTTGCAAAACAGTATAGTAGCCTACAACACACTCCAGCTAACATACCTGTTAATAGTAGGCATCGCAGCTCAGGTGAGCTAATCCCCCACCAAACACCATTTCCCCCCACCATCAACGTACTAAATCAATAACCCAGGCAATCGGCATCTACGCTTTCTGGACAATCCAAAAGCGGTTCTCTCTGAGCCCCAAAACAATGTTCAACGCCGTCGCCGTCGCCATAATCCTGCTCGATGGTTGGGGCATGATTGGCATCTGGACGCAACGTTTCGGTTTCCACAATAGCTGGGAAGTCTGGCTCTACCAAGCCTTCTACGGCCTCTTCGTCTGCCCCTGGTACAGCTACAGCCAGATCATGATCTCGGAAGTGACGCCGCGCGGACACGAGTTCCTGTTCTTCTCGCTGTTCAGCATTATCGGCAAAACGAGCAGTTTTATTGGCCCGCTGGTCTCGAGTGCTATTATCGATGCGTCGCCGAGTCATAATGCCAACATGCCGTTTTATTTCTTGTTTGGGTTGAGTGTGCTTAGCTTTGCGGGACTTGGGGGGTGGTTGGATTTGGCGAAGAGCAGGGTTGAGCAGGAGGCGTTCTTGAGGGAGAAGTTGAGGAGGCGGAGGGAGGCGGAGACTGAGTCGGAGGTGGATGCGTAGTGGGATGGTTGGAGCAATGTAATTGCGTTTCGCTGGAGGTTACACTGTTTGTTTTCGAGTTTGATGATTATTTAGTTCTGCGCTTTATTAGAGGCGAGCAAACGCATGACCCTAGATGCATGAATTGACGACTATTCAAAGATTTGACATGCTTCTTGTATTTGACATTATTCTTTAGAACATCTCTTCCTAGGAAGCGAGAGATGCTGCTAAGGCGAGGGAAATAAAAAGCGGGTGTATGGTTTTTCATATATACTTCTGCATAGTTCCACAAGTGAGCGGATAGCAGAATTTGTCATAATATATTGATCCTAGATCTGCTACAAGGTGTGGTTTTGATATTCCTTTTGGTAGAAGAGAAAACGCCAGCCCATGCCATGCCTCAGCGCCGATTATTGGAGTATACATCAGAAGGGGTCTAGCGAAGACAAAAAAAGAGAACAATACAGCAAGCCAAGAAGACAAACGATAATGGGAACGTGAACAAGCATCATGGATCCAGCTTCATGTTGATTCATTCTTCGTCCGACCCGTCCGTCTTCGACTTGCTCTTCTTCTTCTTTTTCTTTTCCTTCTTTTCGGACCCATCGACTTCTGGCTCTACTTCCGAGTCTCTCTTCCGCTTCTTTTTCTTCTCTTTCTTCTCTTTCCTTTCCTTCTTCGCTCGCTCGGCCTCTTCCAACTCTTCGGGCGCCACGAACGCCTTCTCCCGCTCCTTCATCTTCTCCTCGCGCTTTACCCGTTGCTTTTCCATGACTTCCTCCTTCTGAGCCCGGTCCTTGGCCTCCTTGGACAAGAAGTACTCTCCAGATTCGATCTGCATATCGACCTTGCTCTTTTCCGGCGCCGGAGGGAAAGGAGTGTATACCTTCTTCGTCTTGTCGGTGACCTTGAATGGCGTGTGACGCTTGGAAAGTGTGCGCTTCTTGAAGTTGGGGAGAAATCGATCCCACGATTCGCCAGCTAGGGTGGGGTCCTTGGCAAGTTCTCGTTTGATCATGAGTTCTTTGATGTGGTAGATTGGATGAATATTTGCCATGCAATCGTCAACAATTCTTCGCACTTCTTTTAGACCTTTGAAGGGGCCCATCGCGGCCACTGTGTTTCCTTGAACGAGGATGTAGGTGTCTGTTAACAGCTCGAGGGCCTTGAGCGTTGAGCCCTGAGGACCGAGGATACGTTGGCGGCGCTTGACGAATCGTTCTTTGCTGCGGACCTGGTTTCTGATTTTGATGACATCGCATGCGACACCGTCTTCGAGGATTTTCAGAGCCTGCAACCGAGGTACAATGTTAGCTTGCGGACTATGCAATAGCTTCTTGATGATGAGGTAAATCACCTGTTGAACGGGTACACTTCGCGATAAAAGTTTGATTAAATCCCGAGCCTTAAGGATCGCTGCTGGGTCGAAGGTCTTTCGGGTCGTCTTCACGGTCATGCTACCCTCCACCAAATCGAGAGTACAGGCGATTCCAATTTTTTCCAACGCTCTTGTTACAACAGGCCAAGCTTCCTTCAAGTAGACCTCACGATATTTGGGGAATAATGTAGCGAACGAGGATTCATCGGCGAAACTACCAGCGGCGTTGTCTTCAGCTTTGAATGCTTCGATCTAGCAAAGCAAGTACAGGTTAATAAACACGGAGGCAAAAGAGCGAAATTATTCAATGGTAAACTTACCTTCCATTTGTCAATATCATCCGTGTCCCACGGCTTCTCCTTGTTGTTTGTGGAAGGCATCTTTGGTGTGCTTCTGTTGGTGAAGGTTAACCGCAAGATAGTGAACGATGCGAAATTCTTTTGATGGCGGAAACATTTTTGGCTCCACTCTGCTCGGCCAGCCACTTACTACAATAGGATTATTGGTGCCTTATATTTTAGGTATAATTAAGGCAGACACATCATTATACATCCTCTCATCCGAGAGATCCAGATTTCCGCCGTAGGCGCTTAAGCGCTCGATCTTTCTAGCGCGAGAGCAGTGCTACGTATTTCTTGTGTTATGCTTGGGCCCCTTTTCCTTTCTTCCCCCCCTTCATTTCTTCCATGTTCTAGACTACGCCGAGCGAACTGCGGAACAGCCCGTCGTAAGATCGACCCAGCCCAGAGCTCGACGCGATTCCGCCCCTGGAATGCATCGGCGGTCCCTTAGTGTAGGATCTTATCCCTGGTGTTAAGCCGATAAATACCATCTGTATTTTCAGGAGAGGGCTAGGCCTGAACCCCTTTCTATCATAACTCTCAGGAGCTCCAAAGATTATTGGTCTGGATTATGGTCGGACTAAGGTCTTGTCCCCCAGAAGTTGGGCTGCAAATGATCGGGTATTATTATTTGACCTTGGTTTGGGCAGACTCGCTCAACTGAAACGGTAGTTCGAATCACATAGATGATTGGGTGAGAACATGTCTGTGCTCATTGTCTTGAAAGAAACCCTGCATTGCAGAATGGTTGAGGGCGGACTTTGTGCGCCAGCGGACCTCTCAGACTGGGGAAATCGGATAAAGCTTGTGGGGGAGTGTACACAGCTGATATCAGGATGACTAAAGAGCATTGGGATGGTGCCACTGGCCAGAGAGGACAACTGTTTGGCTGAGAGGACCTGGGGATAGCTAGCCTGATGTCAGATAGATTGCAAAAAGCAAAGAAGGTAGTGTCAACACGAACCGTGTACCTGTACAGTGGGCGAGGAATGAAGTTGAAGTTGCCTTTTATGTGGTTGGTGATGTAGTGTGTGAGCAAGTAAGGTTCGTCCGCACCCGCGACCAACCTTGGTCCTCCTTGTCACTAGGTTCCATCTTACTTCCATTCATTCATTCCCTTTTCATCCTCTTGGTCCTTCCACCCCTATTGTCATTCCTCTTCTCTGCTTGGAGCGATGGCCATAACCGACCCTTCAAGGTCTTGGTTTAGGCCTTCTTCATCGCCTCCATCTCATTTTCCCCATGATGGCGTCCCATAGCCGCCGCCGATCCCACCAATTAGTTTCGTTAACCCAACAACGAAAAGACCTCTCAATAAATGGCGGTGACGGAACTGTAATAGAAGCGTGTTTTCGTTCATCTTAACCAGAGGGCCTCGACGCCTTAGGCCTCTCATTCTGGGGAGAGGAAGGTGAGCTTGAGATTACTCGCAATAGGCACTTATCAGGGGCCTCGCCTGACAATTAAGGGCATTCTAACAGCCAAATTGCAGCGCTGGGCGCTACCACTGTATGTATCGAGGGTATTTGTCTTTTTGATTTGACGAGAACAGGGATCTTTATCGTTTGAAATGGTGTTTATTCAACTGACCACTTTTGAGCTGAACTTCTTAGGCCACTAATTTGCGTTGTATCCTTTTCTTCGACCTGGCTTTTGACGAACTTTGACCCGTTTACTCGGAATAGCCAAACATAGCACAAAGGCCGGACACCTTTTGAAACCTTCCTGGCCTCCCATCCAGGCAAGGCAACTATCCTGTCGGTCAACGCCGAGGCTTTCGACCGATACAAACATACCTAGGCGATCAGTTTGATGCAACTTCTCTCTGGGCAACGGACCTACAGTGGAAAGTAAGCTTTTAAACGAGGATCACTCGCTTCTCTCTGAGCTTCAGATAGCATATCTAGGTATTGCGGTTGTGGCATATGGAGGCATCGAGTCATCGGATACAACGACAAGGAAGCAAGAAGTCTGGTGACATTTTCACTATTCATAGCTCCTATGTTTCGGTTTGTGGGATCTGATATATATTGTCAGTATAATACCCTGGTATCGAAGTACAACTGGGTCGCTTACTGTCAGGCCATGCGGAGAGAGGCAGAGGAATCATCTTTGCATCAACTTCCGTAAAGCCTGATGCGGTCAAGAGGGTCTTCAAACGAGTCCCTACTCGAAGATCCTTGGACTCTTCCATAGATCTCATGAGATTCGAGCTCCATTGCCTCAATACATGGCCTTCGTTAATGGAACCATTGTCTGATTGGACATTGAAGTATATCTCGACCATTTGTACCCATCCTCCAGGTTTCAGGACTCTGTACCATCCAACCGTTAGCCCTGTGCCGTTAACAATCTATGGGCTTCGCTGGCAAAAAAATTAGACCTTTTGATGTCTCGAATATACGATGGCCATCGGGACCGATTGATCCCTCCCGCAAGAAGTCTCGAGTGGACAAGGTCGAAGTGATTCGGGGGGAAGGTGAAAGGCTGGTTTAAATCATCTACCTGTTACGGAGCACATTAGCATTCACTCGTCAGGTCTCCCCACTAGATGAGAGGGGTCGGCCACGATTGGCTCGAAGGAAGGAATGACCACGAGGCACCATTACAACATACCTATTGCGAAGTAAATTTTCGAGTGTTGGCCTTTCCGTGAGCCGGTATGGTTGAATTCAAGGCAACTTACCTGAAGCCAGAGGTTTTCCGGAGTATCGTCTGGGTTCATGAAAGGGTAAATATCAACTCCAATAACCTTCCGAGAATCAAACGTCAGCTAATCCGGGGTCTAGAATAACATAATCCGGTAGGAATATGAACCTCGCAGTCTGGATTTTGTTCTGCAACATCAATGGCCCATGACCCGGTACCATAGCCGCAGTCCAGAACTCTTCGCAAGCGAGTGATCGGAGGGAAGACAAGCCGGTGGTCAAAAACCCTGGTGAAGATTCGGTGTTGGAGATCCAACCGCTCCGCTTCATCCTATTGATAATCAGCGATGGGACATAGATCCTGTGCACAGCAAACAAATCTTACATCGTCCACGGGTTCAAACGAAATCTTGTTATCGATCGAATACTGCTGATAGTCCCGGCCTTGAATGGTTATAGTGCGGAGGTATTCGTCGTCTAGCTCTTCTGTTTGCGAATTCGGGCTCCTTCAGGGACAGAAAGTCAGAATCTCTCAGAAAGGTGTGGCAGGGCTCGAGAAATTGGTACGTCATTATTGTCTGTTAAATGCTTGTGCTAATTGCTGATTCTGCGATGCCTAGTGGGTTAGTTTGAAGAAAGAGAGGAAGACTTCATAGTAAGGTGGGATGTTGAAATTATACCTTGTGGCGGGTGACGCGCGAACTTAGTGTGGTTCGAGTCTTTGTTGAAGCGATCGATGTGGCAGAGCAATCCGTCGGCATGGGAGTACCGCTGGGCACGGGCAAATAGGCAGTGTTTTTTTCGCCCTTGAGATGGCCTGGTGGAGGATTCCTCCACGAGACTCCCCTTTTTTACCACCCATGTACGAATCGTACAGACGGTATGGGGCTTGACCTGGCTGGAGACTTTCTTGTGACGTTCTGGTGAGTCCACGGCGGGTACATAAAGCAGGGTATGTGAACGAGGTCGTCCCAGTGAGACAGAAGAAAGTTGCGGCAGATGCTCCATGACTTACGCTATCGCTTGCGGCTGTCGAACAATGGCAATACTCTTTGCTCAGCTGAAATACATGTTTACTTCTTCAGGTATGAAGCGATTACATGCAGACAGTATTGCTAGGGCGGAGGGGTTTGTGGTGCGCCCCAGAGTGGCACAGTCAACGAATCGCAATAATACAACGCCTACCTCACCCCAAAGACCGCTCTGGTTTGGTTCCGGGTCTTTGATAATTGGCCCCAGGTACCCAAGGAAGTTGCCACGAAATCGCTTGCATTCTATTTTGACTTGCCTCTAGCCCAAACGTATCAGCCATCCATGGCCAATCTCCTGGCGCCGGGAACCTGCAGTCTCGCTGCATCCTCCCCGCGGCTGTCGGGATGTTGGACGTGAGAATATTAGTCAACCTCAAGGAGACAAGGCCTCCACATAACCAGTCACGGGAAGACTCAACGGTGGGGATGCTATGAGCATTACACTATTACAGTAATGCGATAACATTTGGGAACATATGCACGTCAGGCAGGCGACCAGATCCTAAACAGGAATCTAAATGACGAACCGAGGACTGGCCATGTCGTCAACATGGTGAAAACGTAACCCGAATGTCCGGGAGGAGCAACGATTCGCAAAGAAAAACTCCGAGGGCCGGTTGGAGCAAAAAGGTCAAGAAGCGATTTATCGATTACGCAGGTGAGGCCTCTTAGGGCTTAGGAGGACCCTTGTGTCTATATTGTGGCTTGATCCTGTTGTCATCTGTGTCCAAAGAGCCGCGGACATACTTGGACAACACATACTAAGACTGGTCCAAATGATTCTTCATTCTTCTGGCATCAAGCAGGGTCCCCAGCATCCAGAATCGATGGTGAGAATCTCGAGGGAGCGAGCCTTCTGCAGTATGCACAGATCAGTGGACAAAATGAGAATAATAGCAGACTCACATAATCTTCGGCGGGTCCATAGGGGGGGGGGGGATTCAGAAGTCCCCCCTCGGAGGGGTGATTTAGCCTGCAGGATTTCTTGGATACTTCTTCCTTTTCATCCACCCCCTACACCAACGCAAGGTGTTCACCGCTCCTTCAAGGCTTGCTCTTTGGCTTGGGCCTATTGAATAAGTCAAACTAAACGACCATCCGGACGGGTTGCTACCCAAATCGAGAATAGCAGGGAGGCGAATGAATATGCACCTGCTTTGGAAACTAGCCAATGACATCAGAGTCCTTTTCTGCAGACCCTCATCACGAACAAGTTGAGCGATGGGGCCATATTCTGCAACGGCTGTGGAGACCTGAAACGGGCCAATTTGCAGTAAGTATTTCCCATGTTTTCTCGTTCAGAGGGATTGACAAGGGACGAGAGTTTAATTCATCCAAGTGAAGTGTAGGTTTGATTTGCTCCCTTTAGGTTGGGTGAAGGGAAAATCAGGCAATCGGCGGCCTGAACACGGTGGCATCAGACGGCACCTTGGACGAAAAAACACGGAAAGCTGACGTCCTGATTTGAATTACTGCATGGAAGCGGGACACACTATCCTCGAATTGATAAAGTGCGAAAACGATGGAGGGGCGTCCTCTTGGGCGTATTATTCATGTAAGTCATCGGGGGTTCATGCATGTCAAGTCTGTTCCAACTGGCCCGGATTGATACAGAGTATACCCAAGTTGTCGGGTCCTGTACGAACGAGTTATAACCATTGATATTGGGCGAGGGTTTCTTGGTAGGGATTAGGGAACCCAGAGCCACGGTTCACCTTCGGGAAGCAGAGACCGGATTTGGGGGGCCACGGTTGGACCCGCGTCCACGAGTGGGTGCCGCCCCGCGCCCAATTCCCTCGGGACCCAGAGCAAAGATTATACCTCCTGCCTATCATCCTGCCTGACACAGTCTTCCTCTCCGGTGTAAAAGAGTAGTGTTCTTGAAATCGCGAAATAAATAATACTATTTATCGTCTATTGACACTGGTAACTAAGCCCAAGGGTATTCCGAACCTATCTAGTCAACCCCATGCCGCCCACAGTAAAACATACATACCCTTACTCGAACCTTGAACGCACTGCTAAAACAAAACATGAAAATTCCCGAGATCAAGAGATCAACATCGATCAACATCGATCCCCATAATAAACCTAGGCGCCTAGCCGAATGAAAGTCATGAAGAAAAAAAAAAGTTTCATCTCTGATGTGGGTACCCTGAGAAGTGCCGAAACTAGAATATGAGTTTTCCTCGATCTCGTAGACCAACGATAATTCGATAAAATGGCCGGAGGTGTCTGGGGCCACGTCCAAACATCTTTCTACACCGTGGACGGACACCTGGTTAGTCCCTGGCTCCCTGCAGGGTTGCGTTAGGTTGGTGGATCAGCGCAGGGATAACTCGTGATACACGACACTGCAGTCCTGGTGGGTTAGAAGTAGAACCCGAAAATGTTTTTACACAGGACCGCGACGACGAAGTAAGTGTGTCCCACCATGGTCCCAGCCGGCAAATTTCGGGTTGCCTCCATTATTGACTCAGTCTTCCTTACTGATAGAGCTGAGGGCATGGGCTAGTTTCAGCAAGACGACACTTTCCGTTGCGGCGAAGTAGTTTAAGCTGTGCATTATGTGAGCATTTGTACAATGAGCAGTAATTGGAGCTGGAAGTGCCCTGTTGGAGGGCTAGCAGAGTAGCTTGCTTACCTGTCCATGAGAATCCGGAGATGGCGACCGAAATGATCTTCATATCGCTTCAATGTGTCCTCAAGTTTTCCTATCCGAGTCGGGTCATAGCTTCGGCCGTCAGAGGTGGCAGGGTTTGAGCTTAGCTCGGGGTCAGCTGAAGTCAGGGCGCGCCCTAGTGGTGACGAGGTCCACGACGCGAACATTGTGCAGCAGGTTAGGAGTTTTGAATGGATCTAGTTGAAACATCGACTGTCAGCAACAGAAGAGATTTCAATAACAGAAGGGAAAACATACCTTGAGCAGTTTAGCTTGCGTCAACATGCATTCTTTAAGGCAGGTGTCTAGAAAATCCACATGGTCCTGCATAAGTTCATCAACAGTTCGGTTGACTTGCTTAGTACCGTTTACAGTTACTTCCGACCCGTCTGCGTCTGTACCGTTCATGCGATTCATCAGATTTTGCCAGTTGGGTTCAACTACTTCTGCAGTGCAAAAGTAGAGTAGTTGCTGGACAAAGACGAGCATCTTTGACCGGAGAATCCAGGCGCGTCTCTTCCACATTTCCAGCCGTCGGTCAGACGATCTATGGCGCCAGCCCATAGTTTTGCTCTGGTCCAGCCAGGCAGATGATAACATGGTTTCGAGATGGCGAAGTGACAGCAGGTGACGGAATATGAGTTGATATCGGAGTACTGTTTTCCGACTGATAACGAGGGATAGTGGGAATGGAACGGAGTAATCGAGCTCAAGAGCATCAAAACCGACAATGTCCTTGTCGTCGTCGCCGCTTGCTTGCGGAGCTTGGTACTTCTCCAATGCCGCCTCTGGGTTATCTTGATCAATTCCAGAGACGCTAACGACTTGCATAAGCCACTTAGTAAGTCCAACCTTATTCATCCGGACCTTAACATCCTCCTTGAATGGATCTTGTGCGGCGATACTGCCTGGTTGGCGCAGCACTAGATCAAGGAGCGACTGCAGCTTGCTTTCGTTGACGTTTTTAGCAGGCTTGCGGAGTTCGGATGTCCCAAGCTCGAGGAAATAAGAGAAAAAATCGGACCGGTCTAGGAAAAAGTAGTGTTTGAGGGAGCGGAAGCGAGTGGTGAGAGAGTTTTTAGTCAATAGGAGGTTCAACAAGGAAGCATTGGCATAGGTATAGGCGGCGTTCACGTTCTCTAGGAAGCGAGGGTCATCAAATGTTTTTGGAACATCTTTAACCGCCTTGCTAACGTCCACTCCTCCACACTCCCGTACCACATTCAAGTATTTCCCTGCTAGAAGAACCTTGTCTCGGACGCTATCAAGCTGCGGGGGCACTTCGTTATCGCGGATAGTATAGCGCTTTTCCCAGTACTCGTCGGTGTAGTCTTCTTCCAGCTTCTCTCGCTTAATCCACTTCTGCTCTTTGACGAGAAACTCCGCGTGGGGGTCTTTGATCCCTCCATGATGAAGCCACTCATTAAGCATTGTCATGTATGGCCTGCTAGATTCACGAAGGAGGGTTTCCAGGAGCGTCTTCGTGGTTGGATCGCCCGAAAAGGTCGCCAGCCGCTCGGTTAGCAGCCGCAAAACATTGCCTCCTTTACATATCTTCTTGCTAGACATTGCCCCAGGAATAAGATCACCCCCTTCTCTGAGTTGCTCAAGAATGTTATCAACATCATCGAAATCATCGATCGACTCATCGAGGTCCTGATCCAAGAGACCGTTCCGTCTGAGCAGCTCTTGACCTAAAGAGTATAGTTGAGCTAAACATTGGCTGGTCGGCATCGTATGGAGATGGAGTACGTGAAGAGTGAAGGTTGGGTTGTTGAGTAGTTGCGACTCTAGCTGAGCAACGAGGATCAAATAGTCCTTTAGTAATTTTCGAATTGTGGCACATAGCGCGTGGCTCACTGCCCCATATTCCGCGCGACTTTGGACTTCCACGAAGGCTTCAAGAGCACTGTAATGTGTCGCCATTTTCAACATGGACCGCGTAAGGTCTCTCAACGTTGGGTCTAATCCCGATGGTAGCTGGAAATCTGGCCCTGTTAAACGGATCTTTTCCGTAGTTGGGTCATATTGAGGGTGATATTGGATATATTGGCCCTCGAATCCCATGAACACAAATAGAAGATCTTCCAGTATTGCCTTTTCTTGCGCACCGGTAGGCAGCTCGCGTAGCGGCGTCGGATGAAGGGACTGAGGTAGTGCGGAGGCGAGTGGAGGGGCAGATACACGAGTTGCTAACGGAGCAGTAGAGTAGGGCATCAACGAGGCTTGCGGGTTCCATGGTGCTAGATAGCAAGAGTCAGTATCGCAAAGATCCCAAATTCCGACGAGCAGCTCACCGTCCGGGGCCTCCTTCTCCTTCGTTCGAACGCTAGGACTATGGTTGGTCGCCGTATTCGGTCGTCTCGAGCGCGACTTGTCTCCATCTCCCCGATTCCCTGCGCTGGGTGACTCCCTCACTGGGTTCCGTGTACGGGTTTGTAGCTTCTCTTTCGTCTGAACTACATGGCGCTCGGTTCGCTTTTCAGATGTGACATTGTCCCGTGGGGCTTTGCTCTTCTGAGACGACGTGCTTCCGCGGTGATCCATATTTTCTGCTTGTAATGGGGAAGCTGTGCCGCCGCGTAAACCGGGCTTTTCACCATCGCCGACGCGACTGGACGAAACGCGGGGTCGTGGTGGGTTCATGTAGCTGGTACGGCGGTCATTGATGGACATAGACCCCCTAGATGAAGATAACGAAACCGCTTATGCATAGATAGGGGGGTTTGGCAGGGATTTCGCACCGAAGACGAGCTATTCGCTTGATCATGGTGGTCTTGGGCCATCCGTTGTTTGGTTGGAGCGGTGGGTGTGATTGCTGCCTTAGTGCCTGAGATCTCCGCCAGGCACTTGCGACTTGCGTAGTCTATCATCTTCAGAGCTTCATCCAGAGCTCCAGCTTCCCTACACCCCTCCTATACCTCAATCTCCGGCACCTTGACGAGTAGTTTTGAATATTGTTTCAACGACTTTTCTCGCATACTCTCTGTTTATCTCCATTGTACCTTTCAAATAACTCAAGATGTTCATCGCGCGATCAGAATACGGTAAGCTCCATCTGACTTCCCACTTAAAACCCCGGCGTCCTAACGATTTTGCTCGCAGACCGTGGAATCAAGTATGATACCCTCTCCGCATAACTTCCGAGTCACTCTAGCGCCCATTCTAAATATGATCATTACAGCACCTTCTCCCCCGAAGGACGTTTATTCCAGGTTGAATACTCCCTCGAAGCTATCAAGCTCGGTTCGACCGCGATCGGTGTATGTCCCTCGTCCCTCCCCAGTGTCTCTCGCCATGATTTTGTACCCTCGTCTATACAAAATTATTTCCATATGTTGTCTCGGCCATGGTAGCAACAGGAACGCTGACCCCCTAACAGGTAGCAACGTCCGAAGGTGTCATCCTGGGTGTTGAGAAGCGTGTCACATCTACTCTCCTTGAGGCGTCCTCGGTCGAAAAGATCGTTGAAATCGATCAGCATATTGGATGTGCCATGTCCGGCCTGCAGGCAGATGCCCGATCTTTAGTTGAACACGCCCGTGTTGAAACCCAGAACCATGCCTTCCACTACGCTGAACCTCTACGGGTTGAGAGCTGCACCCAGGCGATCTGTGACTTGGCCCTGCGGTTCGGAGAAACTGGAGATGATGAGGAGAGCGTCATGAGTAGACCCTTTGGTGTTGCTCTTCTAATTGCCGGTATTGACGAGGATGGCCCTCAGCTGTACGTTGCTCCCCCTCTATATACTTCTGATTGCTTGTTTGCTTTCCCGAGGCTATATTACAATCCTGTTGCATGTTTCCTGGGCCGAACATATCCACTAATCCGTTTTTCTGTTCTATTCTAGGTATCACGCTGAACCTTCCGGTACATTCTACCGTTATGACGCAAAGGCCATCGGGTCCGGAAGTGAGGGGGCACAGGCAGAACTGCAGAACGAATACCACCGTTCCTTGACGCTTCCCGAGGCGGAGACACTAGTTTTGAAGACACTGAAGCAGGTTATGGAGGAAAAGCTAGACGCGAAGAACGTCCAGCTGGCGAGCGTCACTAAGGAAAAGGGCTTCCGTATCTACAGCGATGAGGAGATGGGACGAGCTGTGGCGCAACTGGGTGGAAACCAATAAATACGGTTCGAATATGGAACCTGCGATGGGTTCGTCATAATATCTGTGTGCTATACATCGCAGGGTTATCTTTGACTCACATAGAAAAGAACAATAACCTCGTCTAATGACCGTGAAACAGCTACTTTTTCTTCGTTTATACGTAATTAGCGTATGTTTGGGCATCGGATGAATGGGTGTATGAGACTTTTATTTTATCAAACGCTGGTATCATATACGATAACGATTTATACACAATGGTCGTTCAGCAGGTACCCAATCACCGAATTTTATAGACACATGGCTTTAGCACAGCCGCCTCTTCCTCCGGCGACATGCCATGATCCGCGGAAGCTGGCTTCTCAATGAACCTCTTCTTCCCAGGTCCTGGGGCCGCAGTAGCAGCAGATGCATATTTGCCCTTCGTCGGAGCACCACCTTGCTTCACAAACTCCAGCTTCACGAACATCTTGTTCGACTTATCCACAGACTCAGACTTGAGAACAAATCCTCGTGTCCTAAAAACTTCGATGAATGCAGAGATGTCAGTCTCATCATCTTGTGTGGGGCGGGCGTCCTCCGCATAGACGTCCGCATCGTCGACATCTGACCCAGCATCATCGTCACCGCCCTTCTTTTTCTTGAGCTTCTTCTTCTCCGCTTTGGTAAGTGTCCGCTTGGCGCCGATTTGGGCCTTTTTGCGCACAACTTTGCCAAAACGGCTTTTCACCTCGCTCACCCAGCATTCGCCTTTGCCATCGCCACGGAGGACCCGCCAGGCTTCCTCGACGAATGAAACCCAGTTAGTGCCCATCAAGCTGAGGCAGAAGATAGCGATGTCGACAGAACCATCTTCGGTAGGTAGGTTGGAGATGTCGGCTTTGGTGATTGGCGAGTCCTTGGGGGCGTGGAGATCAAAGCTGAGAAGCTTCAGATTCAGCTTTTTGGTGGAAGGAATCAGAGCACGATGGAGCTGCGCATCACCACAGCCAAGGTCGGCGATGGTGCAGGCACCGTTCGGTCGTCGCGGTAATTGAAGGGCCCGGGATTGTTGATTTGGTTTGTTTCCCTTTTTCGGAGCAGATGAGACGGCTCCTCTAGTGCGGATGGCACTGATATAAACATCAACTGGGTTCAAAGGCCACGATTCTTTAACCTGGCGAGAAAAACCGGCATGGTACTCTTCGAAGAGTTCGGGGTTCGTGGTAAACAGCTCGAGGGCCTTTGCGGACGGGGTGGTGTAAAGGGTTTCGTTCAAGTGACGGAAACGGGAAGAAATCAGCTTTTGTCGCATGGACTGCTGGAGGGGCGTGAGAGTAGCCTCTGTCTTTGGCGGGACCGATGGAATCGATTGAGCAGCAGTGTCTTCATTGGAAGTTGCTTGGGTTTCTTGTTCGGCCTGTTGTTGGGCGCCCTTGTTCTTATTCCTTCGCTTCCTCTTCGGACCCTTGCCCTCTTCAGAGTCTTGCCCCACTGGTGCTGCTTCTGAGCCTTCAGCTGCCTTTGAATTTAGATTCTGTTTCTTCTCCTCCTGCTTCCGCTTCCAGGGCTTCTCAGCCGGCCCAGGCTTGGCGGAATTGGGCTTTCCAGGCTTCGACCCTTCAATGTGACGGCGGTACATTTGATCGACATTCTTCTTGGTGACCTGATCATCTCGCTTGCGCTTCTTCGAACCTGCATTGTTACTCGATTTGGGCGAGTCGTTTGATTGAGTTTGAGTTTGCGGCGCACTCTGCGGTTTGAGAGCAGAGGCCGAAACAGACCAACCAGGTACCGCAAACATGGTTGTAACCAATTCAACAGCTGTATTTCTCGGAATATATGAGCTGCAATGGTCCAATAGCCTGTGTCTTGGAAATAGACTCAAAGTGTGATCACCAAGCGTCCGGGAATCTGCAAGAAATTTTTGGTGTTCGGCCGTAATTTCTGCCGGCTTAAAAAGGCGGTCCTGGTGATCCCCCACCGCCTAATGGATCATCGTCCGGATACCTTAAATTTTTCAAACTTCATTTTAAGGACCCGATAATAGAGTAAAGTTAGTAGGAATCTGCTAAGTTCCTACATGCCTCCGTACGGCTTATCTGTTAGGCCTCCCCAGAGCTTGGATCCTGCGCAGAGCCAGAGAACCGAGGATGATCCTCGCCGTCGATCTTCGCAGGAGTTCTGGAACGTGATAGGCCAGAGCCAATCAACGCCATTCGTGGCTCGAACTGGCCCGTGCACCACGAACAAACAACTGACATTCAGTTCGATCTCCCCGCAGTCCCATCTGATGGCTGTACTCTATCCACCTCGCTCCTCCTGTAGTCTCTGATTATGGAATCCGTTCTCCAAGGGAACCCACTTTTTTTGATATGGAGAATGTGAATCCCATCAACGAATTCCCGCCAGATACGCAACTGAGGCCTGAACCGACAGCGGGCGACGAATCCTACAGGAATGTGTCAACGCAGCAGCTGGCTGTTGCAAAGGTCGCGAGGAAACGCACCAAAACTGGATGCTTAAGTACGTCCATCGGTGGATAGAAAGTCTGCCTGCTTGAACAACTTCATTGACTCAATGTAATCAGCTTGCCGACAACGCCGCATAAAATGCGGCGAAGAGAAACCCATATGCAAGAACTGCACCAAGTCGAAGCGCGAGTGTAAAGGCTATGCCCAACGATTGATATTCAAAAACCCTTTGGGTGTTCCTGGGGTCCCGAATTCCCTTCCACCACAGCCCGTTCCCCCGCCCACCAGATATGAGGGCGAAATCGATTTCCAATTAACATCGGCTGGTACCCATGGGCCGATGCTGGCCCCGAAACTTCCTACAGTCCCTGGTTCAGAACATAGACCACCACCACAACCTTCTACTAGTAGCTTTCATCAGAACTTCCATGCTGCTGATGCTTCCTTCCCCAAACAATTCAGCGTCCCGGCTCAGACACTTTTACCAGATACACCATCGACCTACAAGCCTGCAAATCAATCGGCTGGGTTAGGTAAACAAAGGGCAGAACCATCAAGTTACGCTTCAAATGACTTCTCTCAATATTCCGCCAACGACCGCAGCCCCGCCCAGCATGAGAGCGAGACCTGGAATACCCAAGGGCCGGTGGGTTCAATGGCCTATTCCCAACACTCCCAGAATGTACACGTAAAGCTCGCCCTCATTTTGGTCGCCTTTTTTTTTTTTTTTTTTTTTTTGGAAAAACTGATCGTATTTATAGGCTCCTGACCCGACTCCGGCGCCTCAAGATACTACATTACATGCACATCAATCCTCAGAGCATCAAAGGAGTGCCCCGCATAGCCAATTTCTTTCGCCTGTATCGCCATTGTCACCATTTGACTATATCGAGGAGGAGGGTGATGATTATTACGATGTTGAATCCGACGAGGAAGCGCAAGACCAAGTGGCCATGCAAGACTTCAACCAGTTGAATATGGTCATGGCTTCTGCGAATCGAGATGTAGGACGAGCCCGTCTTTTTACTACTTACCTGGACGAGGTCAATGTGTTGGATTTTTATCAACCAACATTCGGCTCCTCTCCTTTAAACAACCCAAAGACAGCACGGATCTTCCTTCACTTTATACATGCCACTGGTCCAGCAATATCGGTTTTCGAGCGGCATGGGACAGGTCAATCTACCATGCTTGGTGCTCCAGTTCCAATGGCTCAACAAGGCCTGTGGACGTATACGCTTCCTCTCAAAGCATTTCAGCACCAGGCATTGCAGCAGGCTATTCTAGCCTTGGGAGGCCTGCATATTGCGTATTTACAGGATGCTCCATCCACGGCCTCGCTCAAACATTATCAGTATGCACTAAGAAGAGTCGGTAAAGCGGTCGGCCTTCCTATGCAACGGAAACAATTGGGGACACTGGCGGCCACGCTGCTTCTTGCTTACTATGAAGTAATGACAGCCGATCATTTCAAGTGGAACAATCACCTGGCAGGGTCTGCTCAATTGATCCGCGAGATAGATTTTGCTGGCATAACCCGCGATCTCCGCGCGCAACGACGGCGTCGGTGGCTTGAGCGAAGCAATACCAACAGCTTCTTTGAGGATATATATATGTTAGGCAACTCGGCGTTTAGTGATGATCCCTTTGCTGAATTAGAGATGGGCATCGATCAGAATATCATAGGAAGTTTTCTAGGGCGGGTAGTCAATTACGACCAGTTCGGGCAGGTTGAGGAGGAGGGCACCCAGTCCCGAAAGCAATATTTTACCCGAAAAGATATTGAAACCTTCCGGGTCCAAAGCGACCTATACTGGTGGTTTTGCAAGCAAGACTGGCTGCAAAGTCTTATCAGTGCCGGTCCATTGTTTTTGCCGTTTTCACAATGGGGACAGTGTCCTCCGCGTGCGGGCTTGGGGCTAAAGAACGATCTTTATGGCTCAGCGGACCACTTGCACTTGCTCATGGGTCGACTTGCGGACTTTGCGGTACGGGACAGGAAAAGAAAGGTAAATGCCGCCAAAGCCACTGGGTCGGAATGGAAACCGGATGCTAAATTCGGTCGGTTCATGGCTCGATTCGCGCCGCGTCCTCCAAATACAGGCCAGACACCGCCTAATGCTCCATCTGGTCCTCCAGGTGGTCCCGCTGGAGCTCGTCGATCTGGTGGCTTTGGTCCACCCCCTAGTGCGGACTCAAGGAAAGGGCCTCAAGAGCCTCCTAGTAGTAGTATGGGATCCAATAACTCGGCCAGTGCCCAGCCTGGTTCCCCTCCGAAAGCTCCTCCTATGTACGGCATGGTCCCTTCAGGTGGGCCTAGGCAATTACCTGCTGCTTTCGCAACCACGTCAGATAGACGTGACTCACATCAGCACAATGACGAAGGTGACGACATGTCCTACGATGAGGCCGAAAACGAGTGGGAGAGCATATTGGCGGCATTTGAGATGTATGCACAATCGCTTGGTCCCGACTTCTTGCCTCTAGCGGCTGATATGACCATGCCAATACACTCCCCATTCGGTCTCGCCATTCAATACCACACACTCAACATGGCTAGTCTAATGGGGTTTTACTACACAGGCCGCCTCGCCCTGCTTCGACTACACCCAGTCATGCCCCCCGCGATGTATGTAGCGGCTGGGTACGCAGCCAGTACAACTGCAGGTATAGCTCAAACCATTGGGAGGATTGCAGCAGGCATCTATGGCGCACAAAACGGCCGTGGTGGAATTGAAGGGTTCAGCCCGTCGGTGGGATCCTGTTTGATCGAAACAACTGTGCCTCTCTTCTTTGCAGGTGTTCAGTATATGGCACCAGATCAGCGTGACTGGACGATAACTGTCCTGGGTGACATTGCCCGTCTGACCGGATGGAAGACTGCGAGTTCGATTGCTCGAGGGTGTGAGAGAGCTTGGATGGCCGCTGCACAACAAGGACGTGGTCCCCCATACGAGCGTCGAGAAGGGAGTAGCGTCCCGCAGCCGCCGGCATGGAGGTATACAGGTTCTGTTGCTAACACCGAGAGACGGTTTATCACCATAAACAAGCTCCCTCCCACATGGGCAATGGGAATCCTGAGTATAGATGACCTTGATTACGAGCAAAACGAAAAGGACCGTGAACAGGCTGCCCATATGTGATGCCAGGGCATGCAGGATCACGATGCAAACTCGACGAATATTCAAGTCTATATATATAAGGCATCTACAAGTGACATGTATTTTGATTTACTTAGTATATTATTTCTTTGCTAGTATGCAGTACTTTGGACGGGATGGTTCTATAACCCACATACGCAAATCTGTTGTCGTAGTGATTCATTGCTTCGCTTACAGCAGTTGCGCTCTGACGTTGGCTTTCAGATGACTGCCGCTCTGCTTTGTTCCTGCAGCAAACACTCATATGCTGGCGATACGCCAACAACGCCAGCTCGGGCCGTTGCACCCAGTCACATAACAGAGACTTGACCAGAAAGCCGATTTAGTTCCAGTGCAGGACCAGCGCTTCCGATGGAGCGAGATTAACTGGGCGAGAAGCACCCAAGTTTCAGGTACTAGTGAGACTAGTGTAGATCGCAACGGCGAGGCGCAAGACTTGCATGGCCAACGTACAGCGGATGCGCTGCTGTCGCCTGTGGGCCTACGGAGTCCTCCGCAGGCTGTCGGCTGGAGACAGGAAGAGCATGCGAGCCAGGAACGGTGTCCTATACACATTTTTTTTTTTTTACTGGAAACGCCGGCAAACAGCAGACGAACGAGGCGCATACAGAAACAGCCGTAGAAAGGGAAATATTACCATACTAGCTGTATGATGGTTACGCCTATATTTAGGACGCAGTGAAGACGATCCCCAGACTCAAACAGACGTCATCGCTCAGCAATTATAAAGCACTAGGCAGCGCTTCAGTCTTTTCTGCTCCTCAGATCTAGATTACTTTTTTTCCCCCTATCCTCAGGCGCCATTGAAGTCCTCTCTGTTCTCTTACAGCGAATCTATTTTGCATACACGACTCAACGGTCGCTCTCTTTGTCCCTCTCATCCGCGGTTCTTTACCCCACCACACCAAACTGCTGCCTGCGGTTCCTGTCACCCGCCAGCGTCACCCACGGTTCGCCCACGCTGACCCCTTCTGGGTCATCCGATACTATGGGCCGGTTCTCTGATACCCTCTCGTCCATGTTGGACGGTGACTCGGACCACCATTCTCGTGAGTCGCGCGGCCGCCATCACTCCCGTGGACCTGCGGTTCTGGACCGACCACCACCGCGCCGGTTTGAAGACGAAGGCCGTTGGGATTCTCGCATACATGACCCCGATCGCTATGGCCCTCCTGCCCGAATGCCGAGCAGGCATTACGATGATGACCACATTGCTCACAGAGGCGCTCTGGTCCGCCAGGAGCGCCGTCACGCTGAAAGCCCCCCTCCCCGACCGAGGCTGCTCCGACGACAGTCCTCGTTGGATACCTTCGATCGCGTGCCCTCCCGCAAGATAGACGAGTACTACCGTGGTTATCTTCCAAGAGCGCCACCAAGTCCGCCTCCGCTCCGCCGCGTGCCGCTGCGAGAAGAGTACGAAGCCATTCGGGTTCCAGAGCGAGAGCCTAGGTACCGAGAGAAGGTAGAGGATGCGAAGCCGTATCCGCGCAAGGGAAAGACACGCATGCCGGAGAAACTCGTTCATCCTCGCGCAATTCGTGAATTTGGCTATCCTTACGAAGAAGAGGTACCAGCTCAACGAGATCCACCCTCACTATTCTTGGTTCTGACGAGTATTAGGGTGACCTAGTCATCATCCAGCTAGCTCTTTCAAAGGATCAGATTGATGCTGTCATTGAGAGAAGTCGCGAGATCAGGCGCCAGGCTGAAGGTACTAACCACGTGCCAATTATCTACTAAATTTACGGACTGACCGTGATTCTAGCCATCCCTATAAGAGCACGGTCTCCCGTCCGAGCGACATCTAGACGCAGAAGATCTGAGCGATTTGTGATGGGCACCTATTCGCCGAGTCCTAGAGCCAGCGAGACTCTGATAGTCGAGCCGTCGCCCGATCGATATCTCTCGCCTTCTCCCCGTCGTGGGTACGATTATTCCACATCTACAACGAAGAGAACAGTTTCACGTTCACGTTCGATTTCTATCCAACCACGCCGTCGCCGCCACTCATCACCCCCGCGCATGTTGTTGGAACGCCGCTCCGAGCGCTCCGACAATCCCAGTCACAATGCCTTGGTCATACGTCCGCGGGATAGCGATAGTGATCTTGATGACTATGCCATTGACCATTACAGACCGCCATTTGACCCGAGCACTGCGCTATATGGTGATGGCGACCAAGAGGAGATTTTGGAGGTCAAACGCGATCGAAGAGGTATTTTTGCGATCGCCAAAATCCGCAGCCGAGTATTATAACTGACATATGCACTAGGGCCGTCCTCGCGAACCGTCCGTCGCATGCTTGCAACGATGACTTAAACGCTGGCGCCGGGCGTAGCTTGCTAATTTGATGACGACTTTCTTATGATTTGCGTTTTAGTCGTTTTGTGGATGATCTCGGGTTTTTTGATTCAGGGGTTTTTGTGCTGTTAGTCTTCAGAGTTATGGAACATGATACGATGGATGGAAGTATATGTGATACCATGATATGATAATTCTCATTTTCTCTATTTCTATGTTTATATTCACAATTTACTTCTCATGACTGCCATACATTTATATACTTAGTAGCTGTCAATCTGTCACGTGTGCACGAACCACCCCTTACACCCTGCATGTGAAACAATTGCAGTGGCGGTGCAAGGCGGTGCGGGAGGCCTCGACTCACTCAAGTGTCCACTCTCCATCTTTCCCCCAAACAAAACGACACACAAGACAGCAGTGCTTCTACTCTCGAGTCGCTGACCATAACTTGTTCCTTTCTCTTCATTTGACCAGCTGGACTGTTGTGGCCTGTATCAATCATGGATAAGTTCCAGGCATTTGGCAAGAACTTCAGGTGAGATTAGACGGCAGCCTACATGTTTACCTTCACCCCCCCGAAGCTGTATCCGGTTATTATAGATCGCTCGCAATCTCTTTTGGTCTATGAATACTGACATATCTGTGGTGACCTTGTTTCTGACAGTGCAAACTTCACGCCCTTCGCTGCCCGCACACAGCAGTTGATCCGGGAGCAGTTGGGCCAGGTGGAGGACAAGACCCAACTCCCTGCTGAGTACATCGACCTAGAGAAGCGCGTTGACGCTCTGAAGCTGGTGCACCAGAAGCTCCTTCAAGTGACGTACGTTTTCCGCTTGAGCTCTAACTGAGGATCCGCGCTGATGCGATGATGTGCCTATAGCTCCCAGTACTCAAACGAACCCTACGACTACCCACCCAACATCCGCGAATCCTTCAACGACCTAGGCCGCACCATCAACGAGAAAGTCCAGCTCCTTTCGCAGGCCAGTACTCCTGCCGAAGCTCAGGCCGCCCTGACCGCTCCCCCGGCAGCCAAACCCCAGCCCAAGACCTTTAGTCATGCCATTGCGCGTTCTTCTCTAGCTGGGTCGCAGACCCTCGCGTCCACCGCAACCGGCGATGATCCCCTTGCGACTGCTTTGGAGAAGTATGCGCTTGCTTCGGAGAAGGTGGGCGAGGCCCGTCTAGCGCAGGACGCTCAGATCCAGTCACGCTTCTTAGCTGGGTGGAACACCACTCTTAACACGAACTTGATGTTTGCTGCAAAGGCGCGCAGAAATGTCGAGAACGCTCGTCTGATGCTCGACTCTGTCAAGGCCAAGCACAGCGCTGATTTGGACAACCTGAGTGAGGAGGCTCGTTCTGAGATCGAGCAGGCCGAAGATGAATTCGTCGGGCAGACGGAAGAGGCCGTGAGCGTGATGAAGAATGTACGTATACGGCTGTCTGGCCCTGAGGGGTAAACTGTCTAGTGCTGTTGCTAATAAATTGATATTAGGTCCTTGATACCCCCGAGCCCCTGAGGAACCTCGCCGATCTTATCGCTGCACAGCTGGAATACCACAAGCGATCCTACGAAATTCTTAGCGAGTTGGCTCCTGTTGTTGACTCGCTTCAGGTTGAGCAAGAGGTAGGACACTCCGTTCCATGTCTCCGGCAAAGTTAAACTAACAATATACCGCAGGCCAGCTACCGCAAGAGCCGCGAGGGCGCATAGATGAGAGTGATCAGTGATATTTGTTATTTGTCTACCCTATCAACCACCCATATCTCTTGATTTTCTTTTCTTCTTCCACCCAGTCTACCACCTTTCGTGACCTTTTTGTTTTGGACTTGTAAGGACGTTTGATATCCCTGGACGGTGGATGTGGTTTTAATCGAACCCTCTAAATCCTTCATCGAAATTAACTGTATTTCCAATAACCCCCCTGCCCACTAGACACATTGCCTGAACCAAAGCAATTCTCTATCTGGCGCTCCGTAGCTATTCCCATCGCTGTAACCCCTAGTCACGGCCTCCTGAAATTTCAACTCATACAAGGGGATCCACTAAACACATGCTCTCACGTCATTTATAAATCCATACTCTTTAACACACCAGGCCCTTATTTAAATTTGATTTACACCTATTTCTAGAAGCAAAATCGGTGCTGATTGGTGATTTTAGCCCAAATATACTGCACCGCCACACCTGCCAAGCCACATCAGCGGGATCTCCATCTGGCAGTATCGGGGAAGCTTCATCGGCCAGCACCATCAATCATTAAAGCTCAACTCACAGGCCACGGACCTTACGCCAATACCAATCCATTCTTGCCTTTTTTCCACGTACGAAGTCCCTATCGCTTCCCGCTCGATTACTCCCGCCGCCAAGCCAATATCTCCGCGACGACCTCCGCGATCCTGATCCGATAACTAACGGCGCCAGGCAATTCCATAGACTCTCCCTCCTTCACATACTCAAACCCGTCGCGGGCCCGAATATTGGACTTGAAGAGAATAGACTAGACTAGGCCGGCCCAGTCCAGTCCCCTCTGCATAGTCCATCCATTCTTCCACCTCCCACCGTCTAAGACACCTCATTCCAGCACAAGTTCCAGCGAATATGGCAAACGGGTAAATTCACCACGACACCGAATGCAGGAAAGTAAGGAGAAAAAGGAAGCTAACGGAATACTGTGTGTATATAGGTGGAGTCTCCTAATCGGCCTCATCGTCGTCGTGGGTGCCGCTGTTGCGGCTTGGGTGTTTAGCCCAAAGGGTGATAACCAGACGTATGCTTTCATTGCCCCCTACCTCACCTCACCTTACCTACCCTGCCCTCCGTTGCAGTGGTTGCGGTTATATTATCTTGCAAGTAAACTATGCTAACTGTATCTGGTCCCAAGACTCTGGCGAAGCACGCTCATTCTCTCGATTGTGAGTTGTTATTTGATGTGGGGTATGTGCTTTTCCCTGTCCTTGCTCTGTGATTTCTTGTAAGATTGGTATGCTAATATTTTTGGTTTTAGCCATTACGTTCCTGGCGCAGTGGCATCCCCTTATTGCGCCGAAGAGGGCGGATATTCGACCCGACCGCGTACCGCAGTAGTGTTGTTTTTTTTATTGGGGTTGGATGATGGAATTTGTTGGGAATTAGCTGAAATAGTTATGGCGAAACTAGATTAAGAGATGACTTTTGCGTCAAGGTGTCTACTCCGCATAGAAGTAACTAAGGATGGGTGGTGTCTGCATATTCCAACACAGGACGATATTTATGTATAGTTATTTTCTACTGGTCGATTAATCTATATCCATTGGCATTGCTTTCTATTGATTAATTCTTATAATGCTGACACTGAGACAGAACACTCATCTAACACCTACAGCTCCCAGAATTACCTTCTGCACTGACCACCGAGCTACCAGTCCCGCGACGGCCAGTGCCATGGCACGTAGGTACCCACATCCCAGAAGGATATAGAGAGCTTCGATATTGCTAAGCAGCACAAGATGCGTGTCTGCCGCCCCGAGCGTAAATAGCGAGCTTAGCAAGTCAACGAAGTTCGCGAGATAGCTTGTTGGTATAGCTGCAGGCATCACCTGGACTAGGCCTTGCAGGAGCGACGAGGAGACAGATGAAGCACCAGTTGAAGAGCCCGTTGAACTGGCTATAGTAGGCGTTATCCCACCTAATGCCCGCTGTGCCAGATTCGGCTGCGTTATCGTCGAGCTTATGTCGGGACTGACATTAGAGCTAGGGCTAGAGTCGGAGCTGCCGCTTCCGTCCGGGCCCCAAATGACGAGGAGGATTGGAAAAAGTTTCGCGCAGCTGCTTACAAATAAAGCTGTACTAATGGCAGTCGGAGTCGCGTGGGATGGTGGAAGAGATGGCTGGGCTGTTTGGATTGGGGTTGTAGATGCGCGACGAAGAGGCGGGGGCAGCCCGCAGAACGAATCGCGCGGACTGGAAGGCTGAAGTGGACGTTGGTTTTCGACGCCTGGAAGCTCTTGCGATGGACTTTGCATTGCGGCTTTAGGCGGGCTTAGCGATGATGAGGGGGTCGGAGGTTGTTGTTGTGTCTGTCCGAAGGTGGGAAGAATTGGTGTCGAGGGGTACGAAACCAGGGGGTTTTCCGTTGGAGGCACATTGGGAGTAGGGTCGAGCTGTTTCGTACGTGATGGGACGAGTATAGATGCTAAGAGACGGACTGTAATATGGTGGGCGAGAGTTGCGAGTGCGTTCAAACTCAAAAAGAAGAGGTATTGCACTATTATGGGGGCGTGCGAGAGGGATGTCTTGTCGATGTACGGAGATTTCTCTATCCGCGCCCAGGTAAGGTAAACATCAAAGAGGAGGAGAAGAACGCCGAGTCGCGTGATAGAGCGCTATATTAGAAGGCATTGGTCAATATAACAATTCATCCTCAGTGAAAGGGTTTCCCTTACATCAAACTTGTGCTCGTCCCCTTCAAGGCGGTTGAAGAGCAGATGGCGGTATACCTTCTAAGAGTCAATTGCTGTTCAATAAATGACATATACAAGTAACAAACCTGCGGCTTGATCAAGACAAGATCAATGAAGATAACCACAAAGTCATGCTCGACATATTTGTCGGCGAATCTTTTGCAGTGCGGACATTGCGTCAAGCGCACGCCTTTGCCCAGAGATCGATCATCAGCACGGCTGTAGGCACTGTACAGATGTGAGACGGGATACGAGCATTCGATGCAGATCGGCATCGTCACCGGAAGCCCATCACGGGCAACTGACGTTAAAAAATATAAAGGTCAAGTATAAACAAAGAGAGGAGAAAATGAGAGACTATCGCGATTGTTGACTGCGATAAGGCCGAAGGCGGTGAGCCTACCATGGGTCTAGGGTCTCGACAAACACCGTATAGAACACGATAGTTATTAATCCGTCGCCAGTGTATATTTTCTAGTCTATTTTTATGTGCAGCATGAATATATATACAGCTCAATCGATGACTCCTGTGTCATCTGCCCAGCTGGGCTGAATACTCCGACAAACTTCCTCGTAGTCCCGAAACATCTGCACCTTGTCAGGAAGATCAGGAGTCGTCCAGAACATAGTCCAATTGGTATCCGCGAGCTTCCATGTTCCCAACGACCGCTCAAAATACCACTTGTTCACCGGGTTGTCCTTGCGGCTACGCCAGCATACTCCGTTGGGAAAGCATGTCCGCACCATGGCATTGAACACAACGTCTGCAACACCACCGGCGCCTTGACTGCGTTTGAGAACCGCAAATTTGTCGAGATAAGGCACCATCCTGGCCGTACTAGCCTCGCTCCCGTCGTCTTCCACACCAGGAGGTAGTTCCCAAGTCAGGATCGCACCACCTTCATATTCGCCGGCGATAATTAAACCGGCTAGTCGGCCGTTTACCCTATTAAGATAGTCCTTCACGTCGAGTTTTCGGTTGAAAGAGTCTTCAATCAAATGTACCAGCCGTGGAAGATCAATTGTAGGATCTTCCAAGGTCAGGTTTGGGCGGCTTTGGGCCGTCCACGTCTGCACGTGTGGGTTCGGGATAAGACTGACGGGCATGCCTCGCTTGACGAATGTCGTAGGAGGTGCTGGGAGGTTAAGCGAGCCACGCGCTCGCCGGCTCAAAGGTAAAGAGGATGAAAGAAGAGGCTTATCCGTAAGAAGGTTGTGGATAAGAGGGTTTCTCTGTCGTCGTGTGCCGACTGACAGCTCGGAATGGGCTACTTCAGGTGGACGTGCGGAGTTTGCAACCTCAACCGGAGAAGTGATTATCCCAGATGAGGCAGAGGGAAGCATGGCCAGCGTTTGCTGTGAAAGCCTCAAATTATCCAAGTGACCATCGATTGTGACTTCACCGACGCCGGCAGGCAACATCGCTTGTTTCGAAGGCGCAGAGGCAATCTCAGAGCTGGCAAATTTCGAGAATGGATTGCTTTCCGTAATAGAATCAGCAACCATATTCGCGCCCTGGCTTTCAGTAGTCGACTCGCGGACCTGGAGCAACTCGTTCTTGATATTGTCAAACTCCTGATCCATATTGATGAAAGCGTGAGATGTTTGGGGTCCCCTGAAAGCTGGAACACCGCCCAACGGATCTAACAGAATAACTCGATCCAAAGACACTTCCTTTTGTAAAATGCAGATTTTGTCGGCCGTAATTAACGGGTCCTCGTCAGGGTCGGGGGCCAAAGCCAGGCCTGCAAGCTCCTTTGTCAAGGCAAGAACAGCATCATTGGCAGGTATTATCACAGCCTTTGGCATATCCTCCGTGTAACCGATAGGCGCAACGATTAAGATATGACCATCACGCAACGGGCCGAGCAGTTGCTTTCGAGACGAAACAGTTGGTGTGTCTGGTGTTTTCGCCGAGAATGATAAGACTGAATCTAGATGGGAGGATTTTGAATCCGGCTGAGCATCGACTGCTGTCGCAATGCGGCCCACCTGTTCCGTAGCGATTTTTCGCAGTGTACTGGCATCACCATCCGACCCGGGATCGACCACCACACAACAGGCCATACCCAGCCGGTTGATCTGCGAAAGCGTTTTGGCCACTCCATTCAAAGTGAAATCATCCAGGAGCTGCGGCGTCTTTATCTTAACCAACGCCAGGTGCAGTCGCTCTGGCATCTCCTTCCGGTTTGGAGCCGGGGTTGAATCTTGTCTGAAAACAGGGCTTTGATACACTGTTCTCGATGCACCGTAGAAATTCCCCAAGTTGACTCCGGAAGGTAGTGACTCGGTGATGTTTTGTTCTATCGGCTTGCTCGGCGGCTTCTTTTGGGACTTCGCCTGATGCTGCGCCTTGAGTCGGGCGAGGTATGATTTCGCCTCACGTTTCGTAGATGCCGAGTTCAACAAGCTCATGAAGAATTCCTAAGACCGGGCCAAACATCAGAACTACAGCGAAGAGCCAATTGAAGAGCTGGTGCAACATACCCGATCGAGCAACTTCTCCTTCGCTCGACGGCCCAGACGATCATAACTTTGGCTGGTGGAGGAGAAGCCGGCGCTCTGGATGACTCTGTGATCGCGAGAGGCAGAGTAACACCGACGAGGAGTCGTCGAATAAGCTTCGTCAGTGCCATTGAAAACGGTCGGGTACCGCTAGAATCAAGAACGACAAGGGTTAGACACATTTGCGCAAGAATTGACATGTAGGGCTCATACCTTGAGAGGCGGCTGCGTGACCCGCGACCACGGGAGCGCCCTCGAGCTCATGGTTCAGTTTTGGATGTGTCGAAATTCCATACCAGGTACAGGAACAGACGGCAAACAAGCTCCTCAAGGAACCGGAATGACAGAGAACATTGTGCGGAGCAGTTGGCGGATCGGGGGAGAGGAGAAAAAAATATGGGTCGGTATCGTGAGGGAAATCGTGAGTCAATGACGATGCGGCCTCTTACCGCTCCGTTCTCGGCTGCGGCGGTTTGTACCGAGGCCGATCACGCCGAGCATTTCCGTCTTTATCAAGTCTTACGCGGGGGTTCTGGAAGACCAAACGCTTTGGCTGAGACATTCTGATGGATTTCTGTAATTGTTAGTGCTGGTGCTGTGTCGAAGCTACGTAATTCTTTGCCCGCAGACGTCGGGAGGGCGGCCGAAAATGCATCCATCCCACGCCAAGGTTACGGCTAAATGGAGATGTGCAGTGTTAGAACGGGAAACCATGTCTATATTGCAATCGGATAGAAAGTTCGATCCACGGCAAAGTTGAAGTAGAAAGGACGCGAATGCCCAAAATTATGGGAATTCCTCCTACCCAAGTGAACTATATCCTATATCGACAACAGTAATGCCGAAAATGAATAAACATTAGACGATTGCATCCAAACCGTCGGCTATAACTGACATTGGAAGACGTATTGTTCCGTCCAGTCTTTTATAGTTAGGTACGAGTATTCGGTGTAAACCCGTGGTATACTGATTCCCACAATAGGCAACTATCAAAAAGGCTGGCCCCAATTCCCACACTCCACACAAGTCCAGATCCCTTGGGTATTGTTGCGAATACCGCCGATTTACGACCATGGACGTTGGTCGTTGTAGAACCTATGTCCTCCAGGCCAGGCCTGGATCTTGTTGCCCAACTCCAGCATTGTCAGACACAATGGGACGCACTCAAATTGAAATTACAAGCTTTGCAGTTCCAGGGAAACAGACTGCGGTCTGAAGGCGTGGGAGTTGATGGGACGAAGTCAATTGCAGAGACGGAGAACGTTCTTCAAAAGCTTGTGTGCAGGCACTGTTGTACTAGATTGGATGACAAAAGGACTCATTTCCAGGCTCTTGCACAACGGGGTCTTTGGAAA